TAAACATCTGTAGCAGTTTGTTTTTATTTTGTTTGGAGCAGTCACAATGGTGAAGCTAGTTGACTATTCTCAGAAGGTTTTTTTTTGTTTTGTTTTTTAAATATGTTTTCATTGATTTTTTAAAATACATTTATATTGATTTTTTAAAATATATTTATATTGATTTTTAAAATCTATTTTTCATTGATTTTTTTAGTCAGAGAGAAAGGGAGAAGGGGAGAGAGATAGAAACATCAATGAGCGAGAACATGGATTGGCTGCCTCCTGCACGCCCCTTACTGGGGATGGAGCCCGAAACCCAGCCGTGTGCCCTGACCTGGAATGGAACCCAGACCTCTCAGTCCGTGGGATGATGCTCAGTCCTCTCAGCCACACCGGCCGGGCTCAGAAGAGTTTGAAGAGAAGTGAAATACCTAGACTGTTTTGCATATTTAAAAAAATCTTTCTGTTTACATCATGCAGCAATTAGCAGGATCAAGTTTTGCAAGAGTCAATATACAGAGTATTGCATCTCGCCTCCTACTGAATTGTCTTCCTTATATGGCTTTATTGTTTTGTTTGGAATAATTTTCTAGGGTGTCAGTCAAGTTCATAGTAAAGTTTAAAAATATATTGAATGATCTAATGATGATCGGATTATGGTAAGCTGAGTTGGTGGTTAAATCTTAGATAGGATTATTGAGAAATAATGCAGGTTTTATGGGGAATTATGAAGTGATTTCTTTAACACGCAACTATTAATTAATGTAATACCTTTATTCCTTTTACTTCCCTTTACCAAGATTAAAGGCAAAATGAATCAAGCAATTAATAAGTAATTAAGGTTTAAATTGATAGGTTTGATTCTCTATGGGCTTTTTTGTTTTCATGTATTTTCTAAAAGTTAAGAAACTTTTTTGCCCTGGCCGGTTTGGCTCAGCGGTTGGAGCGTCGGCCTGCGGTACAGAGAGACCCGGGTTCAGTTCCCGCTAAGGGCACGTACTTCGGTTGCAGTTTGTCCCCGGCCCTGGTTGGTCGTGCGGGTGGCAGCCACTCGATGTGTCCCTTCACATCGATGTTTCTCTCTCTCTCTTTCTCTCCCTTCCTCTCTCTCCCTCCCACTCTATCTGTACAAAAAATGGAAAAATGTCCTCGGGTGAGGATAAAAAAAAAAAGTTAAACTGTTTGATGGCAAAATATGAAGTGAATATTGTTTTGAAGTTGACTGAATAGTTGACAGTGTCTAAAAAGTTGCAACTAGTTACTGAGAAGTACAGATGGATGTCCTTTTCTCCACTGATGAAAACAGACAGCTTTGGTATTACTAGGGGAGAAGACCTTCCAACACTTAGAGACCTGGATGAGAAGCCCTCTGCTCTTGGGCACCGAGGTCAGGTGTCGAGTTTGCATTGGGAGTGGTGTATGAGTGGTTTCTGTTTTCATGACAATGAGTAAAGAAACTCCAAGGCAACAGGGCCCAGTCATTGTCCAGAGATGAAAGTCCATTGTGCTAATAGCCTTTAATGACTTCTTACTTCTAGATCTTTTATAGCCCCTCTCAAAAAATAAATCAGCCCTGGCCGGTTTGGCTCAGCGGTTAGAGCATCGGCCTGCGGTCCGGAGAGACCCGGGTTCGGTTCCCGCTAAGGGCATGTACCTCGGTTGCAGTTTGTCCCCGGCCCTGGTTGGTCGTGCGGGTGGCAGCCACTCGATGTGTCCCTTTCACATCGATGTTTCTCTCTCTCTCTCCCTCCTGCTCTATCTGAACAAAGAATGAAAAAGTGTCCTCGGGTGAGGATAAAAAAAAAAAAAATTAAAAAAAATAAATAAATAAATCAGTGAAGTCCCCAACAGCTGTTTGAAGCAAAATTCACTTTCTTTTAGTTAGTGTTTTGCTTGGATCCTTTTCTGTGCACAGTTTCAAAAGTGGCACAGTTTCAAAACATTCTCATGTATAGTTCTCTCTAGCCTCTCGTGTAATTGTTATGTGCATATTGTGCCTGGAAACAGCATGCTATAGTAGGAAAAAGGGGTACAGCTCTTGTAAAACTTTACCTCTCCAAATCTTAGATTCCTTATCTGTCAAAAGGTGGTGTGGGAGAGGGGGGTCATTATCTTTCTGTTAAGGCTATACTCATTAAAATAAATTAATATACATATAAAGGGCTGTTACATGCTTCTGGGACTGTGACACACAGGGTAAGAAAGTGCTAGAAGAATTAGTTCCCCCTGGAAGGACAGTCCACCAGACACACCATCACACCCCCCACTACCCCCTATAGGCTGGAGGCAGCTCCTATTTCCTCTGCTCAGGCTCTCCTTTGACTGGCGGGCGGAGCACCAGCAAAGCCAAAGCCAAAGCCATCTCCTGCCGCAGAGACCAGAACAGCCCCCTTGATCAGTGGCCATCTCTCTTTTCATGCTATAAAGCATTGTTTTGTTTCAGAGCAAACTGGCTGACTTTCTTGCTTCTGTCTCCATTTTAGAAACATTGTTTAATCTATCCATATGATTCTGAAGTTTTTATTTTAACTTTCTCTTTAAATTATGGACATGATTGATGCTACTACTGTAACATTTTTAAAAAGGCTTTTCCCCCCCAAGGAACTCATTTATTTTATAAAGCTCAGAAAATAATCCCATCATCTGTATTGTTTTATGTGTTCTATTTTAGACTTCCTAATCTAATATAAAGATTGATCCCCCAAATTGGACTCTTGCTATAGATACTCATAACATTTTTTAATTAGTAGATCAGGTACATATCAGTACATCTATAACTATTGCTGTCACAGAGCAGTACTTTCGAGTGGTTTATTTATTTATTTTTAATTAATTAATTATTTTTTATTGTGGGAATTATTACAGATGTCTCCCCTTTTCCCCCATTGACCCTCCCTCCCCGCTCCCACTTCCCTCCTGCCTTCTGTCCAGGGGTTTTCAAGCACAGGCTCTGAAGCCAGAGTGACCTGAGTTTGAATTCATGTCTGCGACCAGCCAGCTACAAGCCTTAAGTTATTCACCTGTAAGATGAGGATAATAATAGCACAGACCTTCTAGGCTTATGAGCCTTACATGAGATGAGGAATATCAGGTGCTTAAGAAGTATCGGACACATCATAAATGTACAGTACCTTTTAGCTCTTCATTATAGTTATTTTTAAGAACTGTATAATTTTATATTTTATGTGTAGAACTGCAGTCTACTCGCATCTCCTGTATTAATGAACATTTCAATATTGGTCATTTAGATTGTTTCCAGTTTCCCAGTAATATAAAACAACTCTACAATATACATCTTTGCAACTAAGTATCTGTGTACCCTGCGGTATTTCCTTAGGACACAACGTTGGTTTGTCCAGGGGGAATGCATACTTCTAAATCTTTTCATCGTATTTCTTACTAGCCCTCCAAAAAGGGTGTACAACTCTCACTCCCGGGTTCTTTTTCGTTGTTGAGAATGATTTATCTGAAGTCACCTTTCAAAGTAATATCTCTAAAATTCTCATCCTTGCTAACTATGTTAATACATGAGGAGAGTTAAATCATCATATTCGCCCATTAATACAGAAGGATTTCCAAAATGAATCACCTCGTTGCTCTTGAACCCCCATTGCTAAGGTATAAAAGATTTCTTCTTAGAGGAGTATTTTGTTGTGAATCTCGTCTTCTTACTAACATAAGATAGCAGTGCCAAATTTTTAACATTTGGTAGAGACCAAGTTTGGATAATTTGTTAGTGGCCTTTTTATAAAGCAATTAAAAAAATTGGGGGTTTTTGTTGGGGAGGGTGTTTTTAACAATGCTATTTCACAGAGTTTTATTACTGAAATGTTGCGTGGGTTTGATTTCTCTCGCGCATGGAAGAGAGAAGACTGATACGAGAATTTATTTACAGAAGTGTCCCTCAGCCCTGTTGCTACTGATAAAGGTGCTTATCAGGCCTTGACACATGGTGTAAGCACACGGCGATCCCACTGCGCAGGCCGAAAGCAAGACCAGTTCGAACAGTTAAAATATTACTGAAAAAATAAATAAATAAAAGCTAATTTTTTTTTTCTTCACAAGAGTTTGATTGCTTTTATTTCCAGCAGGAAAGGAACTTTTTTCAATTTTTTTAATCATAAAAATTAGTTCCCACTATTTGTGTTGAGATTTTTTTGTTTTTTAATCCTCACCCGAGGACATTTTTCCATTTTTTGTTCAGGTAGAGTGGGAGGGAGAAAAGAACAGAGAGAGAAACATCGATGCGAAAGGAACACATCGAGTGGCTGCCACCCGCACAGCCGACCAGGGCCGGGGACAAACTGCAACCGAGGTACGCGCCCTGAGTGGGAACCGAACCCGGGTCTCTCCGGACCGCAGGCCGACGCTCTAACCGCTGAGCCAAACCGGCCAGGGCTTTTTTTTTTTTTTTTTTTTTTTTTAGCAAATTCCATGCATGGTGGTGGTAAAATTTTCACACTACATAGGAAAATGTCAAGAAAAACCTTTAAAATCCCTTTAAATCCCACCACCCTGCAGTAAAGACTACCTGCGCCATGTCTTTTTTTCCCCACATGTCTTAAATTAGAGCTAATCTTTTAAAAATTGTAAAATATACATAAACATTTACCATTCTCACTAGTTGTGCAAACACCAGCACCATCCATCTCTGGAAGACCTTCCACCTTCCCAGTGCAAACTCTGGATTCACTGAGCAATGCCCATTGCCCCTGCCCTAACCCTGCCTACCACCACCACATCTTTTTTTACTTTGCATTGAAATATAATATTCACACAGAACTCACATACCACAAGTACATTGACGGCTAAAAATAAAACCACCATGAGGAAGGAAGTATTTGTGTTAATATCGAAGTTCCTTTTTTCTATGCACAGCAAGTTGCTGGTGCTCTGATAGTAGAGATTTGCCTTCTCTGAACTGACACATTATTTCGATCGAGGGTGTTCTGAAGACTGATGAGCTAGCCAGCCTGTCACCCAGAGCATAATAAGGCACTGTGTAGTAATGAGTCACAGGCCCGTTTTTTGCAGAGGGCTTAGCTGAGGCTGCTGGAACCGCCCCTCTGTTGCACCTTGTGCTATATTAGGACTTCTCAGACAGGAAGAATTTTCTTTCGCTGGTGTATCTGGTCCGGTTACCTTCAGGGTAAGTGTGTACAGTTCATGTGGGCAAATGAGCTTCTCTTGTCGAACTTGATCTGTTTCTTATTTGGTTTAGTATCTGATTGAAATTGTAGGCATTTAAAAACATAAGTTAAGAAACTGAAAATAGAATGACCCAGTGTAATGCAAAATTGTAATTTGCAAAGGTCTGAATATGTAAAACATTGTAGTGTCTCGAGGTCTCAGAAATTTATAGGATCTAATTTTAAGAGCTTCTTTTTTGACATATAGATGTTAAGAAAAAGCCAAGTACCCTCAGAAACTTCTTTCTGAGGGGGAAAAAAGTATAAGATCTGATTTTGTTGTTCATTCAGTTGCCATGTAACTCAGTTTTGCTGATAGCCACATGCTTTGTGTCTCTAGAATTAGGACCTATTTATTATGGCTAGTAATAAAGATAATTAAGTTTTATTTTGTGCTGCTGAGCCTTATCCAGGATAGCATGGGATAGATTATACTGGTATTTCACGAATTGATGAATCTCTAAGGTTTATAACAAACTGTATATTGTAAATTACGATTCAAACATATATATTACCATAAAAGGGAGAGCATTATGACTAAATCAGATATAAATAACTGAATTTACCTTATTTTTTTTATAGTTTGTTTTTAATCAGGAAAAGTTAATAATATAGCAGACAATTTCTTAAAGCCGTTTACTTGGTTTTTATTGGCAGCCTATATCCAAGCATCTCTGGATATTGCTTACCACCTGTGCTGTTGTTCTAGGACAAATTCAAGGACAGAAGAACTCAGAGTGCCTTAAGGGTAATCAGTCTAAACTACTTAATTTCTGTTTGCCTTGGTTTCTCTCATCTTGAAAAAATGCTATTAGATATTAGGGTAGTGCAGGTGGGGAGGATGTGTGAATGAATTCTAAGCTCTGAAATTATGTATTTTAATTAGTGTCCGTTAAATTCTGACCAGGAAGCAAAGTTTTACTGTTTAAGAAAATTGGTATACATTGCCAATTTTTAAAAAACTAGCCTTTGGAAAGTATTTTTCCTCTTTCCTTCTACCTTCTCTTCTCCCAGCTTTTGTTCTTCAGTTTCATGTTTGTTTTATATCTGTAATGAGAAAGTTTCACTTTCCAGTTTATGTATCTCCTTAGGGTTTTTTTTTTTGTTGTTTGTTGTTTTTTTTTTTTACTGCTGCTTTGAAATTTTAATTAGGGAGAATTATTTAAATGCCTCAAGAAGCTGATTTCTAATGCTATGGAAATAATAAACTTACAGTTCGATTTTGGATTCACTGTAGTGATGCATGCTTTCCTGTGTAACTAGAATACAGTTTGCCATTGAAGATTTCATCACCTTATTGGTGTGTAGTTTAAATCATTCTTCATGTATCAAAATTAAAGCAGGATCATAACTTTTCAAGCTAATTATACAAAAGAACTTAATCTTTTTCATTTTTGCATAAGACAGAAGCTCATGGGCCTTTAGTAGTATTCAACTTTCATTCAGATATTTATATAAAGGCAAATAACTATTTTTCATGTTGACATAGAGCTTTTCAGTCATTGATTCATCAATATATTTTCAAGGTCAAGTTAATCATCTCAGAATGAAAGACCAGGGTAGCTGAGACTTCAGTTGCCAAGCTTGTGCTATGCAGTGCAGTTCCCGGTACCTCTGCTTCAGTCCTTAGCCTTGCCCTACATATTCCTCGTAATGAACACTGTTACAGTACAGGTCCGAGCTCCCCCAGAAAGCAGCCAGAGCAATTCTTCTCCACCTTCCACATCAGCCCGTCCACATTTCAAGATTCCAGAGACTTAAAACTTCCTTTGAAGAGAGTTCATAGTTCAAGCCTGGTATTTTCTATTTTTGAACGTGTCTCCTACACTTGATGTGTTTTTCCAGCAACTCTTGCTCCTGAAGCATTTGCGACAGATGACTGTTGGCAAAGGAAGCCAGAACTTTATATACCAAGTATAGGTTTACAAGCCTATTGGTTTAAAAATACCCTGCCCTCATTTTCTGTCTTCTCAGAATTGTGCCAGAACGCTGACATTTATGCCTCCGTCTTTACACTTTTATACTGATAGTGACCATGGGCTGATTCTTGTCCTAGGACCCCAGTATCACTGTATGTGAGATTATTTTTGAGCAAGGATAAATTTGGGTCAGATTGCTGGTGAGGATTGGGAAGAATGAAAGATCTGCAGTTGGAATTGGCACAGTATCCAAATTATAAAGGGAATGCCCTAATTATCCAGAATAATTTACTAAAGTTGGAAATTTAGCAGTTGCACATTTCTGATTACTCTGTTTGTGTGTGTGTGTGTGGGAGGGGTTGGTTTTGTTTTTCAAAATAAAATTTGAAGAGACCACGAGAAAGCTGATTACTCTTTCACCTACTAACACTGCTTTTTATTTTCTTTTTTAACTAAGCATGAACATTCCAGAAAGAGCCACACTTGGGGGTTGGGGGTGAGAGAAATTGGGTGCTTGGACATGTGTAATAAAAGGAGCTTAGATTCCCAGATACTAAAATGTATCCTTCACTGCTTGAATTCTGTTTGCATTGGGCTTTTCCATTGCTTCACAGAGTATGTGGTGTTTTTGTCAACTCCATTGTACTTTTCCACATTCTCCTTCCTCTTTTTCAAGCGAATAAAACGGTTTTATTTAAGTAGCTCCTTCTAGAAATCCAGGCTCCTTTTCAGATATTAAACATCAAAGAAAAACCATAAGCACTTAGTAGTCTGTGCTTTGGTTTTATAAATAAATAGCCCAGCGGTGTGGCTCAGTGGATTGAGCATCCTCCCATGGACTGAGAGGTCCCGGTTTGATCCCCGGTCAGGGCACATGCCCGAGTTGTGATCTCGATCCCCAGTAGGGGGCGTGCAGGAGGCAGCCGATCACTGTTTCTCACATGGATGGTTCTGTTTGTCTATCTCTAAACTAAAATACCATCAATTAAAGATCATCAACTTACTAATAGCCTTTCTGAGATGGAGAATACTTTTTTATAAGACATTTTCCAGTTTTATGCACTTAAAATGGAAGGTGGGGGAATGGATTTCAGAATATAAGGACTTTTTATTTATCTCCTACAACACATTTTAATTGTAAGAACACAGACTATTGTCCAACTTCTATTACTAGAACTTAAGAAAAAAATCTGATATTTTTATCTTTCAACTAAATTGCCCATTTAAAATAGCACTTTTATTATAACATTTTACTATCTAAAATAAACTAAAGTCATTGAGTGCCATCAAGAAAATAACTACTTTTTCTTCAGATTTATACTGCAAAAAAGAAAATAAAATTAAGATTTTTTTTTAAATTGCTTATTTCATTTTAAAAACTAGTTATATATAAATTTCACCCAAATCCCTACAATGATCATTCATTTAACAACCACTATCACATATCTGCTTTGTGCTAGATACGATGTTAGATTCAAACAACTCAGGACGCAGTCACACCATTTCATAAAACTAAAGATTTTAATATGAGAAAATTAAAGAATAAGTGTGACTATATATTATGTTTCCTCTTATATTCTTTTTCTATATTCCAGCACTGGTGTAGTAATTGTGATGTATAATTTTCCCACAAGCTTCATCCTTACATGTAGAGGAAATGTTAATCGAATGTTCTTGTAATTAAGCACTTTTTTGCAAATATCTGCTTCGGTTTAACTCTGTTCAGATCTTATTAACACTACAGAAGTTTTTATAGAAGAGCTGCAAATTCTCCATATAAAACTTTTTTTTTTATCCTCACCTCAGGACATTTTTGCATTTATCTTCAGATAGAGCAGGAGGGAGAGAGGGAGGAAGAGAGAGAGAGACACATCTAGTGGTTGCCATCCACACGACCCCAACCGGGGCCAGGGACAACCTGCAAGCGAGGTACATGCTCTTAGCAGGAACCGAACCCGGGACTCTCCGGTCCACGGACCAGTGCTCTGATCACTGAGCCAAATCAACCAGGGCTCCTTATAAAACTTTTAACCCCAAACTTTGAGATATAGACTAAAATCCTTACTGAGCTTCTTTTTATTTAAAAAAAAAAAAAATGTTTTTATTGGTTTTAGAGCGAGGAGTGGGGTGAGAGAGAGAAACATCAGTCAGTTGCCTCCTATACAAACACCAGCTAGGGACCAAACCCACAACCCTAACATGTATTCTGACTGGGAATTGAACCGGTGACCTTTCGGTGCCTGGGTCAATGTTCAACCAACTGAGCCACACTGGCTAGGGCTTTACTGAGTACAGGGCTTTACTTTTTTCTTAAGGATGGAAAAGGATGACTTTAGTAACTTGGTATTTAAATCAATCCAAAAGTACCACCTTAGTATGTCATTAACATACAGGAAGAGCCTAAAATGTATGTGTGTCACGTGTACCTTTTTTCTCTCTCTTTTACTGTGACATCACCTGGGAAAATCCAGAAGATTGGATAACCAAGATACGAGTAATCAAGATTCTGCTGTACATGTGAAAATGGTGGGTATTTAAATATCTCCAGTTCCATTTATTAATGGTGACTCTTCACCACCTTTACCTCTGCCTCTAACCAGATCATTCGTTATGGGACTATGACTTTACACAGATCTTTCTTCACAGTGTTTGACACACAGGAGAACCTCAAATATACGTCACATTGAATTTCAACTTACCTTTGACATTTTCTTGCTTGAAATACAGTGTGCATTAGAGTGTTTCTCAGCATGTAAGATGGCTACCCCATTCCTTTTTGTGTTAAATTCTCTTTGCTCAACAACACACGTAAATCATACAGCATGAGATATTTTATCATAAGCCTCTGAATTAAAAATTCCAAGCATTTACATGAAAGAAAAACTCCTTGGACAGCAGTAGAGTTCATTGTATTATAGACATTGGGATGAGGTAGGAAAAATACTGTTCTTGGAGTCAGAACTGGCTTCAGGTCTTACCCCAGTCCTTGATAGCTGTCATGCGCTTATGTGAGGGCAACAACCTCAGCTTTAAGAAACAGGGACGAAGCCACCGACTTCATGTTCTTATTCACATTCTTCCCCCATCTTTATTGAGGTATAATTGACAAATAAAACTGGGAGATATTCGAAGTGTACACTGCAGGATTTGGTACATGTATGCACTGGGAAAGGGTTCCTCTGTCTACCTAACACACCACTACTTTTCACATGTTCACTTGTGTGTGTGTGTGTGTGTGTGTGTGTATGAGAGAGGGAGAGAGAGGGAGAGCATTATGTTCTACTCTTTCAGCACATTTCAATTATACACAAATATAAATTTCAACTATATAATAGTTTATAGTTATAAACTATAGTCACCATGTTATATATTAGGTCCTCTGACCTTGTTTTATAACTGAAATATTCTTATTTGTACTTAATGAAACAGTATGTGAAGTGCCTACTAGCACATTGTAAGCACTCTTAACTGTCAATCTCCTGTATTATGTTAGTGAGTGTTGGAACTATGTAAGTGTCATCTTTATTTGTACACGTGGAAAAAATTATATCCATTCTCCATATGCGCAATGATGAAATCCTAAAATCCACCATTCTCCCCATGATCTCTCTTATTTCCTCTTTCTGTTCTTTCCCCCTGTTCTTCCCCTTCCCTATTGTTTTTATCCTGGTTACAACTTTCTAGCTTTCTTTTTCTGGTTTGAGCCTGTAAACCAGAACATGACTTAGCATGCAGATGACTTTGCGTGCAGTTACTAAACCTCTGGTTCAGTCTAACGTTCCACCCAGTGTATGATGGGAGGGGAAGCTGACTCAAGAACTGGTTATTGTCCGCGTCCTTATTGCTGTTACGATGAAACATCTGCAACTGCCGTTTTTATATGTCAAACATAGTCCAGTGTTGGCAATTTCCTATGGTTCAGCCTGATACACGGATGTGAACTTTGCCTCCGTTGCATTACTATTTGATGCATTGGTATTGAGCTTGTGTCTCTGATCATGTAGAATCAAGTCACTATAAATGTATTTTCTTGCTTGAGTCATTTTATGTGTTTGTTTTTAATCAAAATGAATACAAGTGATGTAGGAATGCCCTACCACATACTTTTGTATTACTCAGGTCCTGGAACCCTCTAACACGTGACTCTTTTCGAAGCAAGGAACCATGTAGTCAGCCCACGAAAGGCTATAGAAAGAAAAGAAGCCAAAGATGGTATATACATACATATTTTTTATTATCACTGCATTAATTTACACACTTTTTGCCTTGGGTTTGATTTTCTAAAAACGTTGATACATCTTGTAGGTGGAAAGCTCCTTAGGATGTTAGCCTAACTCTCCATGGCTTGGTTCCAGGTCTCTCCTTCTAGACTTTTCACACACACACACACACTCCTTTCCATGCACACCTGGGTTTTAGACAAACAGCTATTTCTCTTTCTCCCCATTAACCACGTACTTGGATTCCTCACCAGTCTCGGCATACCCAAATCCTGCCTGGAGTAAACCACCTCAGTGTCTCTGTTCCACTGTATTTTATCTGGATGTCTTGGCAAGGCAGTAGTTATTATAATCCATCTTATATGGAAGATGTATGTTGAGTGAGAAGTATATCTTAGTAAAACTTCTGTATCGCTCAGACCTGCTTAACAGAGTGCCTTATACTTAATGACTATATGGAGAATGAACAAATGAAAGAATATGATCTACATGACCTTAATATGGAGACAGGACAAACATGCGGGAAGCAGGGGGAGATTATCACTAACATGCAGTAATGCATACTCTCCCAGCACATCATAGAACCCTCTGTGTATGTGAGTCAGTGTACCAGTCTGAACAGGTGCCTTTGAATCTATACTTTTTACGTACTTACATAGAAACTGTAGTGCCCACTCCTTTGTACCAATGCAGTCATGAAGTCTTTTGCTTATACCAAATGTTAACATTAGAAAACAAAGAAAAAAATACATCCTCTGAGAGCTTTTGACAGAAATTCTCAAGTAATTTAAACTCATTTTTATGTAGGCTATTTTAAGAAAAATACAGGTAAACATCACTAGGACAATTTTGTGACTATACCATGCAGCTACTCATTGATATCTCAATGAATGTATCTGTAAAATAATATCAAATTATCTAATATTGAGATAGAGTTTTCAGTAAACTTGTGTATCTTGGAAATCACCTTCTTTAGAAATCACTGCTTTTTTAATATGGAAGTAGACTAATAGGAGTTTGTTTATCTGTACACATACAATATTTTATTTGTCTTTTTTTGTTGTTAATCCTCACCCAAGATATTTTTTCCATTGCTTTTTAGAGAGAGTGGGAGGGAGGGGGAGAGGGAGGGGGGAGAGACAGCGAGACATTGACTGGTTGCCTCCCACACGCACCCCAACTGGGGCAGAGGATCGAACCTGCAACCCTGTGGTCGGAAGGCCAACGTTCTAACCGCTGAGCCACACCAGCCAGGGCCAAATACAGTATTTTAAAGATCAGCCAGAATAAACGTGTGTTGGATTCTTTTTAGTCATCTTTAGGGTTGATTCAGATCAGGGCCCAGTCAATCAGCATATCCTGAGTCTTGTCAGGAAAGCCCCGCTCCTTCCCCAGCCTGTGGCCTTGTGGCCTTACAGATGAACCCGTTTCCTTTCGTTCACAAAGGAGGGCGTGTTTAGCCTCTTGTTTGTTTTCCATGAAATTGTATCATAATCAAACTGAAAAGTCTTTGGACAATTCACAGTAACTTTTCCTTCAAATGCAAAGCATCGCGACTGTGTGCCACCAAGCAGGTATGTTTTGTCCAAGAAGAATGTGGGAGAAGGGATTTGAGGAGGAACGAACAGCAGGATGAGATGCATGCTCTTGCGTGTGCTTCTTCATGTCCTGATATTCTGGTAATCCTCGGCATATTTCATATGTAAGTTATATTTCTTAGGCCTGTTCTAAAATATTTGAGTAAGATGCCCGGTATCTGAGGAGTATTTAGTCATACTGTATGTGTACTGTAGGGGGTTGGGGAGGTAGTGTTACCATATAAACCAAGGCAGATATAATTATGGTTCTTATGTTTCTTACACCTGTGTCCTCCACCCCCTTGTGTTCTCTGGAGAAAGTAGCTGCGTTTTCATCTGTTTTCATCACTGTTATTTCAGCCCAGTGGTATCTGGGTATCCACTACTTTGTATCTGAAAGTGAATGGTGGTACGTTGTGCAGAAGCAGGGACACCAATGCCCCTAGCCCCTGATTCCCTTTCGGACCCCAGTTATTTGGAATAGCCCATCTAGAAGTTGTTAGCTGAGCAGAAACCAGCCTACTTGGAAGTAGTCCTGGTGCTGTTCTCCTATCCATTATCTGCAATGGAAGATGCGGCTTGCTGAGGCAGGATGTCCTCCTCAGTACAGATACGCTGAAACAAAATGTTTCCTTTCCTTGGTGAATATATACCTGTCGCTTTCAATGATGAGTTAGTTATTGAATCAAGCGTATGCTGATGACTGTATCTGTCACTTAAGGCAGAGGTTAGAGCAGGATGCAGCTGCTAGGAGATGAACTTACTAGCTGAGGTGTTTGTAAGGGTGCTACAGAATCAATATTCCAAAACAGCAGTGGTTCCTAAAACTCAACAGGAGACCTGTGTTAAGTGGTCCTCATCATCATATCCTAGCCTCCAGTAAGAATGTCTGACACAGAGGGCGCACATGGTCAGTCTTTGTTAAGCAAATGAATGGATTAATGAATGAGAAAGGGAATCTAGAAACAAGTGCCTATTTGCTTGTCTAATCTATTGAAAAATTACTATAAATATTTAGATAAACTTCTTTAATCATGGAAACCCTTTCAAGTCCAGTTAAATTAAAAGGATCACTGTATGCCCTGGCCGGTTTGGCTCAGTGGTTGGAGCATTGGCCTTTGGACCAGAGAGTCCCGGGATCGGTTCCCCCTGAGGGCATGTACCAAAAAAATAAATAAATAAAAAATAAAAAGGATCACTGTATGAAGGTTAGTTGCCTTGCAAGTTATCTTATCCTACTTAAATACTGCTCTTTAAAAGTGTATTGTGGCCCTGGCCTGTTTGGCTCAGCAGTTAGAGCGTCGGCCTGCGGTCCAGAGAGACCCGGGTTCGGTTCCCACTAAGGGCAGGTAGGTACCTCGTTTGCCTGCCTCTCTCTCTCTCTCTCTCTCTCTTTTTCCTTCTCTCCCTCCCATTCTATCTGAACAAAAAATGGAAAAATCTCCTCGGGTGAGGATAAATAAATAAGTAAAAGTGTATTACTGGCCAGCTCAGTGGTTGGAGCATCGGCTGCCGGCAAACCAAAGAGTTGTGGGTTCGGTTCTGGTCAAGGGCACGTACCTCGGTTGCGGTTCAGTCCCCATCCCTCTCACATCGATGAGTCCCTCTCATGTCAATGTTTCTCTCTCTCCCCCTCCCTCCCACTCTGTCTGGATATAAATAGAAAAATATCCTCAGGTGAGGATTTTTTTTTTTAAATGTATTATGGTTCCAGGTCTTTCATTCATGGAGAAACTTTTAATGTTAGCATTTCTCTTTCTTATACACTTCTGTACCCATCTTCCAGTCTGGAAAACAGGTTAGCCCTTTTCTGATTTTTCTAATTTTGTCCGTTATGTAGAGAGCATGGGATCTGATAGACTTACCTGGTCAGGTTCTCTTGTAGCAAAGGTATAAGGTCTAGGGAATATTTCATAACTGTGTCTATTACACAGGTGAATATGTTAATATTGGTGAGAACATACCCAGAATGACTGCATAGGAAATGAATAAAGATTGTCGGGTTCAAACCAACATAGAACCTTGAGTTGAGGTTCTGTTATTGTCTTTTCATGCAGTGCAGCTGACTGTGAAGTGGGCCATAATCTCCTCCTCTCGGTCTACGTGTACACGTGCCGTAAGAGCACTGTGCTTGTGCTGAATTTTCTCTGAGCTGTTCATTCTGGGTGCGGTAGGGCAGGGGAAAAACATTAAATTGTTGAGAACCACTGGAGGCTGCATGGCATCATCCTTGTAGCAGCCTAAGCCCCGCTGGTCTTATACTTTGTAGTAGTTGTCCTCACTTGAAATAAATCTGTTGTAAAATGTATGCTAAAAATTTGGGGGGAGATGGTTAAGTTATTTGGGAGATGGTACAATAAAGGAGCAAACATCTTGAAGCAACTTTTCAAATTAAATATATTAAATATATTTGAATGATCTGTACAGAGATAAATTTGTGAGGAATAATCACATTTGTTTCCTTGCTGGCTAGAAATTTTTGAAAATGTAAATATGAATACAAACTAAATCTTAAGCAGAAAAATTCTTCCAAGAAAATTCTTTATCACAAGGTTCAAATATTCTCCATTCAATTTCTTGCATTCCATTTTGGTTAATGAATTCTGTTCATTTTCTTATAACTGTATATGTAATAGTATTAATTTCAGAAAGCCAGATGCAAAAGTATATTATGAGAATGAGATAAACTATGTTCATATACATGCATGTTTATAATAAGAGAAATGAAAATAATGAAAAATGAAATGATTGTTTTTCTTGGGGTAACAGAATTCTAGGTAATTTCTTTTTTTCTGTAATTTCAGTAATAAGCATGCATGACGTTTATAATTAGAAAAACGATTCGTTCTGGTAATATATTTATTACAAATGTAGTTTTGTCTTAATAATCTTCTAAATGGAAACTACTGATATGCTTTTAAAAGTTATGTGTATAAATGGTAAAGTGATACAGTAGCTTGCTTGTTTTTATACAATGCCTCAAAATTTAAAAACTTTTAAACAATATAAGCCTCTGTTTGCTATCAAAGGAACCTGAGAAAAGAAGAATTTAAAATATTCAGTTAATTTCCTTTTATTTTTAGATGCCAGAATTCCAGAAGAGTTCCGTTCGTATCAAGAACCCTAAAAGAGTAGAAGAAATTATCTGTGGTCTTATCAAAGGAGGAGCTATGAAACTTCAGGTGAATAATTGTCAAGAAGCCTGTATTGCTAAACCGTTATTTTGAATGTTCAAGTAGACACATTCATCTCATGTTTTGCTGAAATCTGAGCAAAGAAAGTTTAGATAAATAAGTTTTCCTGTCCTTTCAGAATGTAAAATCTGCAAGATATACCTCGAGTTGGTCAAAAATACCTAGAACACCCTGTTGGGGAAAACAATTAATAGCTGTGAAATAAATTTAGCTTTACTTTAATATTAAGTATTAAGTTAACTAATACTGTGCATAAGTACTAAACTATTTTAAGAATAATATTGCCCTTGCCGGTTTGGCTCAACATTTAGAGTGTCAGCCTGCGGACCAGAGAGTCCTGGGTTCGGTTCCTGCTAAGAGCACGTACATTGGTCAGTTTGTCCCCGGCCTGGATGGGGCCGTGTGGGGGCAGCCAGTCGCTCTCTTCACCCTCCCCCCTCCCGCTCTGTCTGAAGATAAATGCAAAAATGTCCTCGGGTGAGGATAAAGAAAAAAGAATAATATTAAATATGTATGGTTTCAAGTCACTCTTCCATTTTTTTTTTTTTTTATCCTCACCCGAGGATATTTTTCCATTTTTTGTACAGATAGAGTGGGAGGGAGAGAGAGGGAGGGAGAGAGAGCGAGAAACATCGATGTGAAGGGACACATCGAGTGGCTGCCACCCGCACGACCAACCAGGGCCGGGGACAAACTGCAACCGAAGTACGTGCCCTTAGCGGGAACCGAACCCGGGTCTCTCTGGACCGCAGGCTGACGCTCTAACCGCTGAGCCAAACTGGCCAGGGCACACTCTTCCATTTTTTAATTAAATAAATCATAGTTCAAATTAACATGTCACTATTAGGGATAACTGATTTTTTTTTAAAGGGCTGTTTTAAATGCAAACTATATCAATAATCTGGATATCCAGTCAAAGTAAATCATTTATTTCTTTAAACATTTTGAAAAAGTATTTAACCCAATCTCCTAAATTGCAAGAGCTGGCAAACTGTTACCAGTATCATTCATTGACTGGTATAGTTTATTTATCTATATCAACAGGTTACCTCTAGAATGGCACAGTGTCAATAACTAAGAGCTTCGTATAGTTTAATTGCTTTCACAGCATTTTTGTACATTGACCAAGGAGGTTGAAATTGTGCAGTGTTTTATCTCAATGAACAACTGTAACCACATTACCTGCAATTGCAGATTCCTATACTGATTAATCCAATTTTATGTGGTAACAATGTAAGGCATTACCATGTAGTTCAGGGAATTCTCAGGACTTTTTATATGAACTGCACTACAAAACTCAGCGTAGGAGAGTTTAGGAGCCAGGTACCGGGCAAGCCCTGTGCCTCTAGGAAGCTTGAGGTACGTGTCTGGCCTACGGTTGTGTTTTCATAGTGCCTTTTCCCCTTTTCTTACAGGTAATAACAGACTTTGATATGACACTGAGTAGATTTTCCTACAGAGGGAAAAGATGTCCAACATGTCATAGTAAGTGTGGTGCTCATGACAAATTCATGAAAGCAATCATTATTTTAAGATCCTTTTCCGCTTATCATATGAACTATAAGACTGGGGTTCCTTTCGTCTTTTTGGAGATTAAAAGTGAGGGGACCGCCCTGGCCGGTTGGGCTCAGCAGTTTAAGCGTTGGCCCGTGGACCAGAGTCCCGAGTTCGGTTCACACTAAGGGCATGTACCTCGGTTGCAGTTTGTCCCTGTCCCGGGTTGGGGTCGTGTGGGTGGCAGCCAGTCGATGTGTCTCTCTCACATTGATGTCTCTTGTCTCTCTCTCTCTCCTCCCTCTCTCCCTCCCACTCTATCTGAATATAAATGAAAAATGTCCTCGGGTGAGGATAAAAAAAAAAAAAAAAAAAAAGTGAGGGGACCTACCTTTTTCCTAAAATCAGACAAGATTGGGCACATGCAGGGTAGTATGGCTGTAGACCTACTTTTTCTCATTATATTTTGAGGATCCCCCCCGCCGTGTTAGATAAATGGCTATTTTCTCAATGTTTTTCGTTGCAAGGGGAATAAAGACTTCTGAAATTTTTCTCCAAATGTGGTCTGATCATTATTCAAGCAATATTTAAATAGATTTAAAATTTTGGATTAACCTACAGAAACAGCATTTATCAATGAGTAACATTTTCTAGGAATGCTACTAAATTTTTGTGTTATTTAAATGTAAATTTAAAGAATAAGCTCTTAAATGACTATCAGGTTAAAATGTTTTGCTAAGATAAGACGCCTGTTTTGTTTTCCAAACTTGGCAGTGAGTTTTTAAAATAATACCCTTCGCCCTGGCCGGTTTGGCTCAGCGGTTAAAGCATCGGCCTGCGGTCCGGAGAGACCCGGGTTCGGTTCCCGCTAAGGGCATGTACCTCGGTTGCAGTTTGTCCGCGGCCCTGGTTGGTCGTGCGGGTGGCAGCCACTCGATGTGTCCCTTTCACATCGATGTTTCTCTCTCTCTCTCTCTCCCTCCTGCTCTATCTGAACAAAGAATGAAAAAGTGTCCTCGGGTGAGGATAAAAAAAATAAATAAATAAAATAATACCCTTCAACCTGACAAAGAAGCAGTGATGTAGGCCCCCTCGCTTACTGTTGGCCCATGTGCGATTGAGATATCACCTTGATCAGTTACATAAAAACCTCTAAAAATCATACCCTTTGGCCCAGTAATTCCCAATCAAGTAATCCTGAAAGTAAGGAATTAAGGACAAAAGATTGTATTCACAGAAATCATGGAAACGTAAGTTCAACCTAAAATTATTTGTAATTGCAAAAGCTTGGAAACAACCTAAAAATTTTAACACTGTAGAAATAGTATCAATGATATCATGCCCACATAACAGAGACTACCCAGCTATCAGGAATGATGTTTGTGGAGAGCTTTTAATCATATGAAAAAGACTACACCGTGAAGTGAAAAAGAAGAATTCAAAAGTATGGATCTGGCCCTGGCCAGTTTTGCTCAGTGGTTGGAGCGTTGGCCTGTGGTCCAGAGAGACCTGGGTTCGGTTCCCGCTAGGGGCATATACCTCCATTGCAGTTTGTCCCCGGCCCTGGTTGGGTCGTGCGGGTGGCAGCCGCTCAATGTGTCCCTTTCACGTCGATGTTTCTCTCTTTCTCTCTCTCTCTTCCTCTCTCTCCCTCCCACTCTATCTGAACAAAAGATGGAAAAAATGTCCTTGGGTGAGGATAAAAAAAAAAAGTGTGGATCTGGTTTAATCTCTTACTGAATTGATAATGCATAAAACTTTAAGACTGAAAGGATATGCACTAAAATTTTAGTAATTTATTATTAAATGGTAAAAACTGTAACTTCTGCCCTGGCCAGTTTACTCAGTGGTTAACACATCAGCCCAAGGACCCAAGAGTCCCGGGTTCAGTTCCCGCTAAGGGCATGTACCTCGGTTGCAGTTTGTCCCTGGCCCTGGTTGGAGTCGTGTGGGTGGCAACCAGTTGATGTGTCTCTCTCACGTCGATGTTTCTCTCTCTCTCTTCCTCCCTGTCTCCCTCCTGTTCTATCTGAAGATAAATGCAAAAAAACACACAAAAAACTATAACTTCTATTTTCTTTACAATCTCGATTTTCCAGATTTTCCATTTAACATTTTATTAAGAAAAAAGTCTGTTTCAGAGATGTATTCCCTACTTCTATTTAATTAAAAAGAATGCTGTTAAAGGGACCGGTCAATATACAGTTCACAGTGTTTGAAGACTTTGAATGATCTAGCCGAGTGGTGTATATGAGCAATCACTAAATCATGGATTTTCCAACCATTAGATTCTCTAGCAGTGCCACATGGATTATAGCACTACACCAGCGGTTGTCATAACCATGCTAGTTGACTTGGCATTTAAATTTAAAAGAAAAGTATTAAGTTATTCATCAATGAGAGTATTTCTTTTCATGCCTGTTTGCTTTTTCTTTTTAGATGTCATTGATAACTGTAAGCTGGTTTCAGATGAATGTCGAAAAAAGGTAAAAGCACTAACAGTAATCCAGTTACTGAAAACTTCATTATCCTTTTTGCCTGAGAATTTCTTCAGGTTCATTCATACAAACAAGAATGAATGCAAAGTGCTTATAGCCATCCCTGGCACATAGTAAACACTCAGTAACTTAGGTTTATTCTATGGATTATTGCACTCAACATATTTTTTAAAAAATAATTTTTCTTTATTCATTTTAGAGAGAGAGGAGGGGAGGGAGAGATAGAAACATCGATGAGAAAGAACATCGACTGGCCTCCTGCATTCCCCCCACTGGGGATCGGGCCCACAACCTGGGCTGTGCCCCAACTGGGAATTGAACCGGTGGCCTCTTGGTGCATGGGTCGACACTCAAACACTGAGCCACACTGTCCAGGCTTGAAAGTACTTTTAAAAAAATAAGAAAGTCAAGATGGCAGCATAGGTAAAAGCGGTCTCGCTCCTCCCACAACCACATCAAAGTTACAACCAAACTATCATTCAAAACCACCTGAAATCAAGCTGAATGGAAGTCCTACAACTACGAATTGAAGAAGCCACACCCACGTGTGGCGGATAAAATCAGGAGGACACCTCGGCTGGGAAGGTCCTCCCTGAGGACTGAGGGGTCCTCGTCCCACACCAGGCACCCTGCTCAGGGTTCCAGTGCCAGGAAGAGAATCCCCATCACTTCTGGCTGGAAAACCAGCGGGAACTGAGGCTCAGGGAGGCTGAGGCGGCTGGAGCCCCAGGCAGCTCCTTAAAGGGCCCGCGCCCGGACTTATCGGACTCTCTCCCTCTGAGCTTGGAGGGGAGGCAGCTCGAGGGGCGCCAGAGACACACAGGGAAGAACTGAGCTGTTTGGCACTGGAGCGAGGGCTGGAGAAGGGGCTTTCTCCGGGACAGAGGTGCTGTCAGAGGCCTTTGTTCCTTTGGTGAGCCCTTCCCTGGGGCGGCAGACAGAAGCCATATCTGGGACTCCAGCAACCTGACTCACACTGGTAGCCCCGCCCTGGTGACTCCCTGAGGCCCCGCCCCGCCCAACTTTCAGGCCCACCCAAGCTGTTGCCACTTGCTTAACCATAGGATTAGCCTGTCTTGGATCCTGCTTCAGGTTTTTCCTAAATTTTTTCAAACGAGCAGCATCTGGTCTCAGCTAGCCCCATACCTCTCGTTAAGTAATACACAGAAACAAACACAGGGAGGCAGCCAAAATGAGGAGACAAAGAAACAGGTCCCAAATGAAAGAACAGAACAAAACCCCAAGAAAAGAACTAAGCGAAATGGAGATAAGCAACCTAACAGATGCTGAGTTCAAAATACTGCTTATAAGGATGCTCAGTGAACTTAGTGAGAACATCAGCGAACTTAGGGAGGGCCTCAAGAGCATAAAAAAGGACCAGTCAGAAATGAAGGTGACACTAACTGAAATAAAGAATAATTTACACAGATTCAGTAGTAGAGAAGGTAAAGCCAAGAAGCAAACCATCAATTTGGACTATAAGGAAGCAAAAAACACCCAATCAGAACAGCAAAAAGTAAAAAGAATCCAAAAAAATGAGGATAGTGTAAGGAGCCTCTGGGACAACTTCAAGCGTGCCAACATTTGCATCTTGGGGGTGCCAGAAGGAGAAGAGAGAGAACAAGAAATCGAAAACCTATTTGAAACAATAATGGCAGAAAAATTCCCTAACTTGGTGAAGGAAAGAGACATACAAGTCCAGGAAGCACAGAGAGTCCCAAACAAGATGAACCCCAAGAGGCCCACACCAAGACACATCATCATCAAAATGTAAAAGGTTCAAGACAGAAGAGAATCTTAAAAGCAGCAAGAGAAAAGCAGTTAGTTACCTACAAGGGATTACCCATAAGACTGTCAGCTGATTTCTCAAAAGAAACTTTGGGGGCCAGAAGGGAGTGGCAAGAAATATTCAGAGTGATGAAAAGCAAGAACCTACAACCAAGATTACTCTATCCTGCAAAGCTGTCATTTAGAATTGATGGCCATATAAAGACTTTCCCAGACAAGAAAAAGTTAAAGGAGCTCATCACCACCAAATTGTTATTATATGAAATGATGAAGGGTCTTTTTGAAGAAAAAGATAAAATATATGAACAAACAAAATGGCAATGAATGCATATCTATCGACAATGGAATCTACAAACAAAATGAACAGGTAGAACAGAAACATTCTCATAGATACAGAGAACATTTTGTTGGTTGCCAGATGGGAGGGGGGTTGGGAAAATGGGTGAAAAAGGTGAAAGGATTAAGAAGTACAAATTGGTTGCTAGACTGACAAACCTCAAATAGATGGGGGGTCAGGGGTGGGAAGAAATAAACCAAAGAACTTATGCATAACTTATGGACACAGACAACAGTAGGAAAAGGCAGGAGGGAGACAGGAGTGGGGTGGAGGGGGTCAATGGGGTAAAAATGAGGAACATCTGTAATACATTCAACAATTAAGATTTAAAAAAAGTAAAAAGAAAAAAAAATAAGGAAGCTTTTAACTAAATATACCTATATTTAGTTACATGTAAACTAAAATCAACAACAATCTTTTCATTTGCTATATGTATTAGATATTCATGATCTAATCTTTACCATTTAAAGCAGTTTATGGTAAACACTTGTTTATATTTTGCTTTCTATAAAACTAAGCAGCTTAATGACAACTCTGCATTCTTCATGATTAAGGTATTTGTTTATTTCTAGTTACTGAAATTAAAGGAAAAATACTATGCTATTGAAATTGATCCTGTTCTTACAATACAAGAGAAGTTCCCTCATATGGTAGAATGGTAAGTGTGTATTGGGCAATGGGCGAGTTAAAATATAATACAATTAAATACAATTATGTAACAGTTCTAACTAATGGTGTATTTTCCCCCTGTATCATGTGTAAATAGATTAATAAATTGTCCAATGAGTTAGAGCGGTGATTAAATATTATAAAACAAACTCTAACTCTCTAATCACTCTTATAGTGTAGAATTTGTTTGTTTGATGATGAAGATCAATAGGAATAAATTTTAAATTCTGCATTTAAGCTTTAAACTCAGAACAAGAAATTTTTTTTCTTTAAGGCATGTGGACAAGACGTGGCTTAGTATGTAGAGAAAACATGTTAGGACTTAGATGGGCTCTGAGCTGAGCTGGCTCCCGCGGGGACAGTCCCAGGGACTGGCCGTCTGCCGGGGGTCGCGTGCACCGGGGTGCGCCGCCGGCACTGTCTTGCACCCTGGGAGGAGGCCGTGGAGAGAAATGCGGACAGACTCGGTGTCAGAGGGGCCCGCTACGATGCCCCAGGGCTGGAGCCACTCCGGTAGAGGAATATTTTGAGGAATAGAGAATTTTTTTAAAATAGCAAACACATTTTTTTTTTTTTACTGTTTTTATTGATTTGAGAGAAAACAAGTCCACACCTGGGCATGTGCTCTCACTAGGAATCAAACCAGCAACCTCCGTGCACTGGATGTTGCTCAATCAACTGAGCCACACAGGTGGGGGCAGGAATAGAGAGTTTTGATTTGAGAGCAGCATTGGGTGGTTTTAGAATCTTTTATTTTTATTTATTTATTTATTTATTTATTTTTAATCCTCACCCGAGGACATTTTTCCACATTTTGCTCAGATAGAGTGAGAAGAAGAGAGAGGAAGAGAAGGAAGGAGGGAGGGAGTGAGAGAGAGAGAGAGAGAGACTGATGTGAAGGGACACATCGAGTGGCTGCCACCCGCACGACCAAACCAGGGCTGGGGACAAACTGCAACCCAGGTACGTGCCCTAAGCGGGAACCGAACCCGGGTCTCTCTGGACCGCAGGCCGACGCTCTAACTGCTGAGCCAAACCGGCCAGGGCTCTGGTCTTAGAATCTTAAGAGAGCAGAAAGGATGTTATTTATATTCATTATCCCATCACCGGAGTACTTTGCACACGTAATCTGTGCTTACAGTACGAAGTGTTGAAAGAGGTTGGACTTACTCAACGTGCAGAATTGGAACCCGACTGGAAGGCTCTACAACACTGACTTGGCACCACGAAAGGACTGTCTAGCAATTAGAATTTTCTCGCAACAGTATAAGGTTCCCTGGAGAATGCGCTCAGTGACAGGATGGGAGCCCCCAGGGAGGGAGTTTCACTGAGGAATAGTATAGGGGCCTTCAGGGGTCGGGAGGAGAGGTCCTAAAGACCTGTTGCACTGAGATGGTGGGATTACAGATGTTTTTATGCCATTGTAACGCACTGGCATACAGGGGTGGGCAAAGTTAGGTTTACAGTTGTGAGCATACAAAACAGAGTTTATTTCTGTATTATTGTTTTTTCTTGTATTATATATTTTTCCATGCGAACAACTGTCCGCCCCATATAAAACTTTGCATAGCAAGGATCCTCTCTCTTGCTCACTAGGCAGTATCTTCAGTGTTTAGGCATTTCATGAAAAGTCAGACTACAAACAGGTGAACAAGAGCTTCGCTCTTGGAATCAAAGACACGATTATGCCTCCCAAGGTTGGATCCCTTATTCGTTGGCCGAGGAAAGGTGTACACCTAGTACCTTTTAGTCTTAAGAAGACATCGAATATCAGCTACAGTTTGGGAGAACTGGGAAATGCAGTATGGACTGCATCTGAGACATGTGGTATACATTCATTGTAATGAACTTAAAGATCTGAAACTTAAATCCAGCCCTGGTCGGTTTGGCTCAGTCGTTAGAGCATCAGCCCTTGGACTGGTGAGCCCAGGGTTTGATTCCCGGTCAAGGGCCATATACATACCTGGCCCTGGTCAGGGTTGTGCAGGAGGCAGCCAATTGATGTCTCTCTCCTTCCTCTGTTCCCCCTACTCTATCTAAAAATTAATGGAAAAATATCCTTAAGTGACGATTAAATCAATCAATAAATCTAAAATATCATGAATGAAATACTGTATTTTCTCATACTGAAGAATGCTCTGTAATAAAGATAATAGCTTTAATTGATAGCCTTTTTCTTTGGTCATAAACTCCAGGTACACTCAATCGCATCGCTTGCTCATTGAACAGGCTTTACCGAAAGCTAAACTTAAAGAAATTGTGGAAGAATCTGACGTTATGCTCAAGTAAGTTTCTTGTTATTTGTCTAGACTGGAACTGTTGTTACCTGTCGTATTCAAGTGTGTGTTTTTATTGAAATAATTTATAAGAACATCCCATATAGAGAGCATTTGAGATCTTGTTTTTTGGCAATATTATCACTTTGGCTTAAATAAACTCTTATGAAAAAATTTTTAAAAGAAAAGAAACAAAGAATATCCTATATAAAAATAGATCCAGAACATGTCACATAATAAAAGTGGTGAGATCAGGAACTGAGAATGACACTTTAGATCCTGGTGTAGGCATGGGGAACTTTTTTTCTGCTAAAGGCCATTTGGATATTTATAACATCGTTCTCAGGCCATACAAAATTATCAACTTAAAAATTAGCCTGCTCTATTTGGTCAGGCTAATTTGGTGAGACGTGTGATGTCAGCTGATATTGATTTCGTGGGTCTTATACAGTCCCCACCCCTGGTGTAGGGAATGAAAGCCTATGAGCTTGAAGTGCTAATTTACATTTCCTTTCTCCAAATTAAAAAATTCAAGACTAACTTACAAAGTTACGAAACCAAGACCATTTTGAAATTTTTTTAGCAAAGTATTTTTCAAAGATATAAAATCATCTTATTTTTACTAGTACAACTAATTAAAAGGAAGGTAAAAAGTTAACTGTTGTTTGAAAAACTGCTAGTGTCTGACATCAGTAACTGTTCCCTTGGTCAGTATTTTGAAATGAGAACTAAGTGAGCCAATGAATTAGGTAGAAACATGTAGCTTTTTAAACATCTAGGTGAAAAAAGAGAGGTCCTCGCTTTGCCAATCCGCTTGTGCCTTCATCTCACAGGGAAGGGTATGAGCATTTCTTTGGTAAGCTCCAAGAACACGATATCCCTGTGTTCATATTTTCGGCTGGAATCGGAGATGTGCTGGAGGAAATCATCCGCCAAGCTGGTGTTTATTATTCAAATATCAAAGTAGTGTCCAACTTCATGGATTTTGATGACAATGTAAGCATACCAAGTCATTTTTTATAACTACTTTTAAAATCTGAAAATGTTCTAATGTCAATGCATTTGTTAGTGATTATTTCATGTGTACTTAGTAAATTAGGCGAAGTTGATGGGCCTACTATGGGAGTCCCAACTCGCCCAGTGTTAGAGCCATATCCCAGCCTGTGTGGCTCGGTTAGTTGAGCATCATCCCATGCACAAAGAGGTCTCCAGTTCAGTTCCCTGTCAGGGCACATGCCAGGATTTCAGGCTTGATCCCCAGTAGGGCGTGTGCAGGAGGCAGCCGATTGATATTTCTCTCTCATTTATGTTTCTCTCTCTCTCTCCCTCCTTCCCTCTCTCCCTCTCCCTCTCCCCCTCCCTCTCCCTTTTTTCTCTAAAATCAAGAAAAACATATTTTAAAAAAATTGGCAAAGACTCCATATTTAAAATAATAATTTTTAAACTTTTGTTCCCTGAGCTATAGACCAATGTTAAAATTAGCAGAACTTTTCTTTTTTATTTATTTATTTTTATCCTCACCTGAGGACATTTTTTTCCCTTTTTTTTTTTTTTTTTTTTGTTCAGAGAGAGAGAGAGAGAGAGAGAGAGACATCGATGTGAAAGGGACACATCGAGTGGCTGCCACCTGCACGACCAACCAGGGCCAGGGACAAAATGCAACCGAGGTATGCGCCCCTAGTGGGAACCGAACCCGAGTCTACCTGGACCGCAGGCCGACGCTCTAACCGCTGAGCCAAACTGGCCAGGGCTTCTTTTCTTTTTTAAAAAAAAATGTTTTTTCATTGATTCTTTAGAGAGAGAGGAAGGGAGAGAAAGAAGAAAACATTGACGTGAGAGGGAAACATCAGCTGCCTCTTGCACGCCCCCTACTGGAGATTGAGCCCACAACCCAGGCTGTGCCCTGACCGGGAATTGAAGCAGGACCTCTCGATCCATGGGTCGTCGCTCAATCCACTAAGCCACACCGGCCAGGCTAGTATAACTTTTCTTAATGTTACTTAATGCAAGAACTCTACAGAATTAACATCCATGGGTGGAAACAAGGAAGTGAATTAGCACTAATGTAATTTGAACAAGTTCTTCTGATCAATACAGTGCATTATAAGATACATAAAATGGTACCTTTTGGTTAGGAACTAAATGAAAAGTACAAATTGGACTTTCAACTTGAGTTTAACATTTAAAGTATCTCTGGAAAGGCCTGTACATCTGCGAGTCCTTCTTACCTATCATGAACGTGAAACTACAACACATAAAATCTGTAAAACCTGTTATTTCAAAGGATTTATATATTTTGAATAGGGGGTGCTCAAAGGATTTAAAGGAGATCTAATTCATGTGTTTAACAAACATGACGGGGCCTTGAAAAACACAGAGTATTTCAATCAACTGAAAGACAACAGCAACATCATCCTGCTGGGAGACTCCCAAGGAGACTTAAGAATGGCGGATGGAATAGCCAATGTTGAACACATTCTGAAAATTGGATATCTGAATGATAGAGTAAGTCCACAAATTCATCTAACGCCCTTTTGAGAAAACCGCAAGGTGTAACTTGACAGGCACTTGCTGCCCGAGGTTCCTGAGAAAGGAGTCACTTTGGAGCCGTCTGGGTTGCTCTTCACCCCTTTCCTTTGCCAAGGAACGACGGGCTGGCAGCTCAGGCTCCTGCTGTCGGTGTGGAGAAGGGGGGGTGTGCGGTATAACAGGCCTCGCTGGCCTCTCCCCACTCCATGCCAGGCGCGCTCCGGCCATGAGAATAAAATCCAGCCCAATGTTCCTTGGCTCCGCGTCTCCATTTGGGAGCCACTGGACTAGAGAATCCATTTTGGAGAAAAGCCCCCAAGTGGGAATATTTCTGTCCATGAGCCTTAAGAATTCAAACACTTAAGAGCATTGCTTCATTTCAAACACTTGATGGAAGTGAGTTTACTGTGTTACTCAGGTCCCTTCTTTGCCCACAGACCTAGCGTAGGAGTGGGGCTCGCACCGGAACGACGTGCTTTCTGTTCTGCGTGATAATCTTTGCGGTTTTGTTGTTGATGATCAGGTGGATGAGCTTCTAGACAAGTACATGGACTCTTACGATATTGTCCTGGTGAAGGAGGAGTCCTTGGAGGTGGCCAACTCCATCCTGCAGAAGATCCTCTACAAATGAGCCCTCTTCCGGGGGACGTCCTCCCTGCGCCTGCGTGGACGCGAGACCCTCCGCGTGTGTCCAGCTGCGAGACTTATTTATAACTTGTCCTTGCCCAGCCTTGTCCAATCCCTCGACCAGGAACCCCTTTTTCTCCGCCTCTCTCAGCACACTCCTCACCGTATTTTTTAACATTAAAAAAAAAAATCTGCAAGTGAAAATTTGAAAAATGACTGCCTACATTTCCAGAGTGAATTTTATAGTTTGATATTGTGAAGTTTTTGAGGAGTCTTTTTACATGTGTGTGATTAGAAGTATTGACATTTTTGTAATTTGAGTGAATTATGCTGATGGTATCACCCTCTCTTGAAATTGTGTTCATTGTTTGCTGGGGGGGGGGGTGTTGAAATTTACCAGAACACACTAGCACTTGGTGTTTGAAAAAACTTGGTATCCACATGTCACTAATCATTATAAAATGTTCTGTGTTGATGCACTGATAATAAACATGAAATGAAAAGCCTTTTGAATTCTACTGCAAGACTATTTATTATTCATTCATTCATTCATTCAAGAAATATGTATTAAGCACCTGCCAGGTTTATCTTTTATGTATGTGATAACCTTGTAGTCAGACCAACTCCCCTGCCAAAACAAAAAATATTTTTCTCTCTTAAGTAGTAATTTTGAAAAGCTGTGTAAAGTCCTAAGTAATCAAAGATCAAACTCACTAGGTTTTAACAAAATAGTGCAGACAGCTTACGCTTGCAAAGTAGCCTTGTGGTTTGTTTATTTTGAGAGAAGAAGGGAGAGAAACATCAATTTGTTGTTCCACTTATTTATGCATCTATTGGTTGCTTCTTGTATGTGCCCTGACCAGAGACTGAACCCACAACCTTGGTGTAGCAGGATGACGCTCTAACCACTTGACTACCCAGCCAGGGTGCCTTGTGGTGTTTCAAACACACAGGTCACACGCATACTCAGATGCCATGTTCTCTGTGATGCTCTAATCCTCCATTAGCATCAATGACTTAATTCATCTTTCAGACCCAAAGTTCAAACCCTGCATGTCATCAGTTAGGGGGTCCAAATGCAGGGACTGGACGCTGTTCCATCAGGGGGTCCAAGCTGCCTCAAGAGGCAACACAGAAATGGAGTGCAAAATGTGGTGAAGAAAAATACTGTGTGGCACCTCCACCCTCAGTTTGGCCCTTAATTAGTACTCACAGCCTTGCTGGCAGAGTGTAACCCATAATCATAATGCAAATAGAAGCCAGGGTTGCAGCAGCATCACAAAGCGAGGCCAGCGAAGCAGCCTGCCCTTCCAGAGATCAAAGCCCGTGGTAGATCACAAACGTAACGCCCTCCTTAGCAACGAGAAGATGGACGTGCCAGGCAGCACTCGACAACAAAGCAAAGCTTTAGATAAACAAACGCATGGTATCACTTATGAGTGGAATAAGAAAAGTTGGAGTCATAAAAAACAGTAAAAAAAAATGGTTACCGGAGGTTGGGGGAACTAGAGAGGTTGGTAAAAGGTGACCAACGTCCAGTGATAGGTAAGTCTGCTGAGCATCTGATATCTAACAAACAAGGTGACTACAGTTAATACCTGTACTGTATAGTTGAAATTTGCTAAGAGAACTTAAATGTTCTCACCCCCAAAATGAAAAAGGTAAGTATGTGAGCTGATGGATATGTTGAACTCGACAGGGAATCCTTTCACGATATATGTCAAACCATCCACACCTAGTGGGCGATGAGAGTACCTCGGAGAACGTGACGTCTGCATGTGCTCAGGACCTCGTGCTTGAAACCACGAGGCTACTCTGCAAACATAAGTGGCCTGCGCTAATTTGTATACTTTAAATAATCTTACCATTTGTTTCGGTTAATTATACCTCAATAAATCTGAAGAAGAAAAAATAAAACCGACAGGCTGGAGACCCCAGAAGAACCAATATTTGGGTTCTGAGTCTGAAGCCCAGAAAAGACCAGTGTTCCAACTTATTAGTCAGGCGGGCAGAGTTTTAAAAGGCCTGCAGGCCCTGGCAGTTTGGCTCAGTGGTTAGAGTGTTGGCCCGCAGACCAATGAGTTGCAGGCCTGATTCTGGTCAGGGGCACATACCTCGGTTGCGGTTTGTCCCCGGTCCTGGTCGGGGTTATGCGGGAGGCAGCTTGTTGATGTGTCCCTCTTGCGTCCATGTTTCTCTCTCTCTCTCTCTCTCTTTCTCTATCCCTCCCTCCATCTGAAGATAAATGGAAGAATATCATCCGGTGAGGATTTAAAAAAAAAAAGGTCTGCAGTCCTTCATTTGCCCCAGAGAAACAACTTCATTCAGACAACCTGTCTCCACTGGTGAAGAAATTCAGGCAGGACCAACTGAAAATGCAACAGAGAATCAGCACAAGACTTTTATCTCCAGGAAGATACTTGAGGCCGGATGCATCCAAGGGCAGTGCCGTTGGGCACTGTTACTACCCTGTCTAGGGCACATAAGGAACCCTGCCGAATGAGAACTGACTGAACCAGCGAGAAGAGAGCTAAGGGACATTAGTAACCATGGCGGCAGTAGCCAGGAAGGCCGTGCACATCTCCTCTGCCTCCCAAAAGCACACGGAGTCCCTGAGGTTGCTTCTGCAAAAAGTAAACAATAACATTTGCTTTTTGAAAACATACTTGTGCCCTGGCCAGTGTGGTCGGTGGGCTGAACATGATCCCGTGCACAGAAAGATCACCAGTTGATTCCCAGTCAGGACACATGCCCAGCTTGTGGGCTCAATCCCCAGTAAGGGGTGTGCTGGAGGCAGCCAATCAATGTTTCTCTCACTCTCTCTCTCTCTCAAATAAATAAAAACACATTAAAAAAAATTAAAACATACATGTATTTTCTCCCACGTGCCAATTATTCTCCATTTGCTCCCACCCAGGCCACACCAGCCCCTGAGCTCCTCTGGTTCGAACTGGGTTCAACTACTGGAAGCCAGCGGCAGGTCAGACATGCCTGCCTGCTTCAGTCCCAGCCACAGTTCCCAGGATGGCTCAGGCCCTGCAAGACTCCCAACAGACAGCCCTGCCTGGGTTCCCCTCAACCCTTCAGGCCCAGGGAGGATCAGCCTTCTGCTGTTGTCGGCCACCAGCTGTCCTGGGTACTTGACATTGTTACTGGGTCCCTGAGTCCTGCCCACACCTCTGTAAACAGTCCTTCCACTATCTTCCCTGCAAAAGTGTCTAGAAGGGTGTTTCCCACCAGAACCCCGACCCTATACCTGCTATGTTCCCCATTCAGCACAGCGAGGTCCCTGACTGCACGGTATATCCCCACGGGACCCAGCCGTCAAATAAGACGCCACAAAGCCTGGTGATAGAATTCAACATTTTATATACGAAAAGATTGGTTTTCCAACATTCAACTGGACGAGTGCACGGCATTTTCATGGACTACCTCAGAGCTACATCAGTACAAAATCGTTTAAATTAGTAAAGCAGTTTCAGAAGGAAAATCGTGGATTACTTCAGGGTAAGCGCCACCACCGGTGGAGGACATAAGGCAGCAAGGTGGTTACTGCTTAACACGGACCGGCGGGCAGGTGGCGTCCTTGTTTCCCTGGGCTTCAGGGCACAGGACACAGACGAGCAGCAGAAATAGGTCACCTTGTCTGTGCTCATCTGCTGGAACCACACGCCCACCTCGGCCACAGTGAGAGGCTCTGAGCTCGGCTCAGCCGCCGGCTCTGGACGTATCTGTCTGCTCAAAGGCTTCCGTGCTACGGGAGAGTGATGGGGTGAAGCAGGTACTCTCACGTGACAAACGCAGCATCACGGTCTCTACCCGTGGTCCTCGATGCCTTTTGTTTGGTCCAGATTTTTTTTTTAACCTCCAAGCTACCCAGCCAATCACAGGACCACAACAGTATGGGGCGTGACTAACTAAAAAAGCACATGCGTGTGCATGTGTGTGCGCGCGTGTGTGCATGTGTGTGTGTGTGTGTGTGTGTGTGTGTGTGTGTAGGGGAAGGTGGAGGCTGGGCCTCACCAGAAGGGACTGTACAGGCCACTGAGTTTTCTGGGGCTTTCTGGGAACCCTGCTGGGGTAGGCCCTTTGGTTTATCTGCACAAGGCTTATGAAACATCAGCCAGGTAAAAAAAAAAAGAAGTCTTAATCCTTGATTCTTCTTCTTCTCCCTCCAGGATAGTTATAACTTCTGTATGACACTATTTTCCTTTAATAACAAAACTACCCAGAAGGCCACAGAGCAATGGTTGACAGTGTGGCCTTTCCAATATCCTACACAGCCCATGCTAAGGCACCTCGCGCCGATTTTGTCTAATATCACTGGCATTCAGCCTAAAATTCTCACCATGTGTATCGACCCAGCCTGGATGTGTGACCCACTTCCGCTTGCTGACAGTTCACCTTCTGGGAGGCCCTCGTGCCCTGACGGCGCCATCTGCCACGACGGGCTTGGCGTCACACAGGTGGCTTGTGTCGGGTTCAGAGTTCGTCGTGTTTGGCCTCCTGGTCTTTGAGTTTGAATTCCTCGGCCGTGACCTTGCCGTCCCCGTTGCGGTCCTGGTTGGTGAACATGTTCTTCACAATCATCTCAGCGTCGAAACCGGGAGCGAGCTTCCCTTTGCCAGAGGCCACCTGGGCATGAATGTACTCTGAGAACTGGAGGGGGGACAGGACAGACCCTGAGTCACGGCAGTGAGAGCGCAGAGCCCAGGCCCGAACAGAATGGGCTTTGAGTCTGAGCTCGCGAAAGGACCGAATCCCACGAGCTGCACAGCCGGGGTTTCCCCCAGATGCAGGTTAAAATCCCCTGACTGGACGACTCCTGCAACCCACGGCAGCTGCTGGAGCTCCCGTTCTCCCTCAGCCGACCCTCAGTTCTTCCCCGAAGGCTGCCCCGACGCCCGGCCTGAGAACATCGCTGCCGGCATTCCTGCCTTCGCACCAGAAAAACGTCCCAGCCACGGTGTGCCGAGCACCGTCCCACAGCCTCATCGGTACACACACGAAACCTCCTGCCCTCGGAATTCTAGCATCTTTCTGATAGGAAAGGCACACAATTAGAAACGAACACAGGCCCTGGCCGGTTTGGCTCAGCGGTTAGAGCGTCGGCCTGCGGTCCGGAGAGACCCGGGTTCGGTTCCCGCTAAGGGCACGTACCTCGGTTGCAGTTTGTCCCCGGCCCTGGTTGGTCGTGCGGGTGGCAGCCACTCGATGTGTCCCTTCACGTCGATGTTTCCCTCTCTCTCTCTTCCTCTCTCTCCCTCCCACTCTACCTGAACAAAAAATGGAAAAATGTCCTCGGGTTTTTATAAAAAAAAAAAAAAATAGAAAAAAAAAAAAAAAAAAAGAAACGAACACAGAAAAATAAGTTGCACATTAAGTGAGAAAGTGAAATGCTCTAGAAAAACTAAAAGGTAGAGCCAAGTCAGGAAGATGGAAAGGACAAGTGGGCAAGGGGCCTGCAGGATCAATTCGGGGGTCGGGCGAGGGCCGGGGATAAAGGCAGACCTGCGCAGAGGCTTGGAGGGGTGAGGGAGGGCAAGAGTCTTCCGGGCAGAGAAGGGCTGGTGCAAGGCCCGGGTGAACCCCGCCGGGTTTGTCCACAGACCAGCAGGGGGGAGGAGGGCAGAGGAGGCCACAGTGAGCAGGTGGTGAAGGTCCCAGCAAGGCCTTAGGGCCTCTGGGAGGACTCTGGAAGCAGGAGGGCTTCTGCAGGGATCTGAGTTGGAGCGGGCCGTGGTCCGACTCGTGCTTTAGATCAGAAGACGCCTGAGGAGCTACCAGTGAGGTGGAAGAAACCCAAGCACGTGTGGGGTTCTGGAAGCTGGGGAAAGAAGGTGTCATGCAAAGAAGGCAGCTGTGTTGAAGGAAGAGAGTGAGGGCCGACCCCTGGACTCAGCGATATCAAAGGCACTGGTCCCCTCGGCAAGACCAGGCTCAGTGCTGACGAGAGCAAGCCAGCGGCCGGGGAACGCTGGTGGCGGAGAGAAAGGGAAGCAGGCTGGAGCGGCGTCCCTGGGTAAGCGGGCCCGGAGTAGGTGGGAGCTGGACTTCAGCAGGGAGGTGACAGGACAGAGGACTCGACCGCCCAGCGCCACCAAGGGGCGTCTGGTACAGGAGAAACATCACAGGATCTACATGCTCACACAGGGGTGTGGAACCTGGCTCAAACCACTGGGGTGCTGTGTGACCTTGGGCAAGTCATTTACCTTCTCTGTGCACAGCTGCTGCTTCTGAAACACAGAGACGGTGACATGGCTGCCATGAGGGCCAAGCAAGACAACAGGTGTGAAAACACTTAGCCCTCAGCAGGTGCGCTGCGAGCACCCAGGAACTGGAAATGATCCACATCAGTGAGGCCTGGAATCAGTGCCTGTACCTCTCAGGCCTCAGTTTCTTCAAAGAGCATCAACTTAGAGAGCACGTGTGAAAGTGCCCGGTGCGTGAGTGTGCAGGTTCTCACCAGCACCAGACGTAAGCACAAGTGTCCCCCCCCGGACGGCTCTGCCAGCAGAATGGGTCCCCGGACCCAGTAAGGCTTCCTGAGCGCCTTGGGTCCCACCTGTCTGCAAAGGTCAGTTACCTCTTCCAGGAGGACTTCTCCATCGCCATCCTTGTCGATTTCTTCAAAGAGGTTGGGTGACACCTCGTCATTCCATATGAACATGTACCCCTCGGGCAGGCCGGCCACCAGCTCCAGCAGCTCGATGTCAAACACCAACACGGCACTGCCGGGCACTTCTCCATCTGCCACACGGACAGGGAGGGGGCAGGGTTAGTGCTGTAGGGCAGCAGACAGGCTCCCTGGGCCCCCCGCCGCACCGGGGCTCCAGCCACCTCACCAAAAGCAAGAAAGTTCAGCATCGGCGCCAGCTTTTCCAAACGGTAGGTAGTGACTGTTAGTGAGTCTCCAGCTCAGTTCAGAGGATGGTGACCAGCACTGTTCTTTTATTTATTTTTTAAATATGTTTTTATTGATTTTTTTAGAGAGAGACAAAGGGAGAGATAGAAATACTGATGTGAAAGAGAAACATCGATCACTGCCTCCTGCACGCCCCCTACTGGGGATAAGGCCCGAAACCCAGGCATGTGCCCTGACTGGGAATTGAACTGGGACCTCTCAGTTCATGAGACAACGCTCAATCCACTGAGCCAAACTGTCCGGGCATGAACTGTTTTATTTATTTATTTATTTATTTATTTATTTATTTATTTATTTATTTATAATCCTCACCTGAGGACATTTTTCCATGTTTTGTTCAGATAGAGTGGGAGGGAGAGAGAGGAACAGAGAGAGAGAGAAACATCGACATGAAAGGGACACATCGATTGGCTGCCACTCGCAAAACCCAACCAGGGCCGGGAACAAACTGCAACCGAGGTACGTGCCCTTAGCGGGAACCGAACCTGGGTCTCTCTGGACCGCAGGCCGATGCTCTAACCACTGAGCCAGACCGGCCAGGGCTGCACTGTTGTTTTATATTTTATTTTATTTTATTTATTTTTTATCCTCACCCGAGGACATTTTTCCATTTTTTGTTCAGGTAGAGTGGGAGGGAGAGAGAGGAACAGAGAGAGAGAGAGAAACATCGACGTGAAAGGAACACATCGAGTGGCTGCCACCCGCACGACCGACCAGGGCCGGGGACAAACTGCAACCGAGATACGTGCCCTTAGCAGGAACCGAACCCGGGTCTCTCCGGACCGCAGGCCGACGCTCTAACCGCTGAGCCAAACCGGCCAGGGCTACACTGTTGTTTTAAATGAAAGAACAGAATAAAACTGACCAGGGTACCTTGCATGCAGAAAGGATAAGTGTCATTTTATGAAACTTGACTTTCAATTTTATATATAAAACTAAATGTACATGTATATACGTATATATAAATAGTATATTTACTGGTAACACAGATTAGGAGACAAAATGTACTCCTTACCGTGTGTCTTGGTGGAAAAAGTCTGAAAGCCTCCAGCAGAGACTACAGTGGGAGAACTTTTGAATAAATCTGACAGCAGAATTGTAAGAACGATAAAGTATGCCTTAAAATCATGATCATGATCCAAGATACGACTATAAACAAATTCAAGAATGGTGTATATGATATGGGCCCAAAGGAAGTTATATAAGTACACACACACACACACACACACAAATGTAACACTTATTATTTAAAATATTATTATTATAGATTATGTTATAATTATCTAATATATAATCACAGGAGCATGGTATTTATGGGGCACACAACCTATTTTTGTATTTCTTTTAGATCAGGGAGGAGTAGCAGGGAGTGTTTTTACAATTACTTAAAAACTGTCCAAAAGAGAAGGCCATCCAAAGAAGTGGCCGTCACTGGAACGAGCTGGCACTGTCCACCTCCCTGCCTCCGAAGAGCAGGTGTAGTCACACGCTGGAGCAGAAGGGCTCCCGAGGCCCCGCGGACTCAGTCTGGCCGAGCCCACCGAGCCCATGAGCCACAGCAGCGGGGCGGGCCAGGACCAGCCAGCACTGCGAGAACCCGAAGTTCATCTCTTACAGAAGGAACCGCCTCGGACAGCTCCGGGGAAGTGACCGCAGAGGTCTGTGGCGTCCCCTGACCCCAGCAAACAGCTCCGGAAGGAGCCCTTGCCTTGCCCACGAGAAACTCTCTGAAAAGCTCTTCAGGGACATTTCCCACCCGTGGGTGTGGGGGTCCAACATGCATTTCATGAAACTCCCGTTTTCTCTGGTCCGTGGGTTAATTTTACTTATTTATTTTTATCCTCCCCTGAGGACATTTTTGCATTCATCTTCAGATATAGCAGGAGGGAGAGAGGGAGGAAGAGAGAGAAACATCGACGTGAAAGGGACACATCGAGTGGCTGCCACCCGCACGACCCAACTGGGGCTGGGGACAAGCTGCAACCGAGGTACGTGCCCTCAGCGGGAACTGAACCCGGGTCTCTTTGGTCCGCGGGCCAACGCTCTAACCACTGAGCAAAACTGTCCAGGGCCCGCTTTCTCAAGAGGGCATGGGGCATTAGCAGGCATCAACACTGACTTCCCAGGGGTCCTTAAACAAAAATGCTAAATACTGAAGAAAAAAAAAAAAGCCCAACAGACTCTTTGGGTTCAAAACAGAAGAAACAGGGTTGGGGGACAGGATGAAAAAGGGGGAGGGACTGAGAGTACAGATGGGTAGTTACAGAACAGTCATGAGGATGGCAAGTACAGCTTGGGGAATAGTCAGTAATACAGGGGTGGGCAAAGGTAGGCTTACACAGGTGTGAGTATGTGGAACAGAGTTTATTTTTGTATTATTATTATTTATTAACATCTGTATTATTTTCCATACAAACAACTGTAAGCCTACTTTTGCCCACTCCTGTATTGTGATAACTCTGTATGGTGCCAGGTGGGTTCTGGAAATATCGAGGGGAACTTTGTAAAGTATGCGGTTGTCTAACCACTATGCTGTACACCTGAAACCAATACAAAATAACACTGAATGTAAACTGTCATTGAAAAATATAAAAAATGCAACCCCCCCAAAGAAACAAAATGGAAGAAGCATATTGTGGTTCTATGTGTACCCCAGAAAGCACAGAATTTGGCCCCGGAATGTGCCCCATGCTTTAATAGTGCCACTTACCCACGCCAGCCTCCCCATAGCCCAGGTGGGGCGGAATGATCACTGTCCGCTTCTCGCCAACGCACATCTCTCGGAGACCCATATCCATTCCCAGCACGACCTGGCCAGAGCCCAGAACAATATTATACGTTTTGCCTAAATTCCACCTGGAAACGAAACAGAAGGGTCCCTGGTTAGGTCATCAACCCATTGGTCCTTGAGTGTTCTCATGGAAAGAACGTACCACTTCTCCAGCACATCACCTCACCGCCAAAGACACAGAACCGTCTGGTCACAAGGAAACAGACAAACCCGCATTGAGGGGCACTTTGCCACAAAAACAAACACAAAAAACCTATAATCTTGAAAAGTGTCAAGATGAAAATCAACCCTGGTTGCTGTGGCTCAGTGGTTGAACGTCACCCATGCACCAAGACGTCGCCGGTTCAATTCCCTGTCAGGACACATGCCCAGGTTGTGGGCCCCAATCCCCAATGCGGGGCATGCAGGAGGCAGCCAATCAATGTTCTCTCTCATCAAGTTTCTGTTTCTCTCTCTCTCCCTTTCTCCTTTTCTCTCTCTCTTTTTTTAAATTTTTTATCCTTCAGATAGAGCGGGAGGTAGAGAGGGGGGAAGAGAGAGAGAAACATTGACGTGAGAGAGACACATCGACTGGTTGCCACCCACACGACCCCAACCAGGGCCGGGGACAAACTGCAACCGAGGTAACATGCCCTTAGCGGGAACCGAACCCGGGACTCTCTGGTCTGCCAGCCGAGGCTCTAACCGCTGAGCCAAACAGGCCCGGGACCCTTCCCCTCTCTCTCTACAATCAATAAAGAAAATTTATTAGAAAAAGAGGAAAAGTGAGGAACTGTTTGGTGTTAGAACATATTGAAATGGGGTCCTTCGGCTACCAAACACCTTGTGGGAACATTTAGCAAAACTTACGTGGGGTCTGAAAATTAAAAGGTGGTAATTGTCAATGTTAACTTCCTGATTTTAATATATGTAGGGTTAAGCAGGAGAAGGTCTCTGGTTTTAGGAAAAGCACCCTCAAGTACTCAGAGGTGAGGTACATTCGGGTGGCAGCCTACTCTCCAGTGGTTCAGGGAGGAAGAGTTCTTTCCACAGCTCTTGCCTTTTTTTAAACGTTTCAGTCAATGTTCTAGTCAGACATTTTCATGGGAATTTTAAAAAGGTAATGTAGTTAAAACCCTGGGTCCCTGGCCGGTTTGGCTCAGCAGCTGAGCGTCAGCCTGCGGACCAGAGAATCCTGGGTTCGGTTCCTGCTAGGGGCACGTACCACAAAAGACAAAAAACCCTGGGTCGTAGATTCAAGGCAAGGCCTGAGTTTGAATCCTGGTTCAGCCAGTTAATTTGACCCTGGAAAATGTGATCTCAGTTTCCTCATCTACAAGGTAGAGATAATTACAGCTGTTGCACAGGGATGTTCTGAATAGGAAACAGTGTATTATGCCTGGCACAGCGGAGAGGAAGGACAAAGCACTCAGTAAACAGATGGCCTTGAGGGTGTCAAGTGCTTGGGTCTGTGACTGTCTTTGACTCCAGAAAAATAACTGAGAGTTTAATTTGGGCCAGGTTTTTAATTTTAAAAAATATTTTAATTGATTTTTAGGAAGAGGAAGGGAAAGAGAGAGAGAAACGTCGATGTGAGAGAGAAGCATCGATCGGCTGCCTCCTGCAGGTCAAACCCACAACCCAGGCATGTGCCTTCGCTGGGAATTGAACTGGTGAACTCGGTGCAAGGGACGATGCTCAACCGACTGAGCTGGGGCTGGGCCATGGTTTTAATGATCTTTGATGTCCATGGTCCCTGGGTAATCCAGATAAATAAAAGTTGGCTCTCTCACCTCAATCACTACTGAAAAAAAAAAAAGGATTTCCAAACCTATGGCATTTCCACCGCCTCCTAAAGCAGAGCGTGGGCATGTTCTTCAGTGCTCAGGAGATACCTCCCGGTATCTTAGAGGCCCCCGAGTGCCCCTCACCAGGTGATGACAACATGGAAGGGTCAGTCCCTCTGGGTCACGTCCCCTTTTCAGGCTCCCAGCCTCCCCTGAGCACCGGGCTGCTGGCTCTTTCCCTCCTGAACCTGGATCCCAGGGCCCGGCTGGTTCTCGGGGGCCAGGAAGCCAAAGGAGGGTTTGCATCTGTTCTACCTGGGACGCAACGGAGAGACAGCCAATTGGCACAGGCTGCCTGGCCGAGCCTGCGGGAGGGGCGTCCCCCGCCCCGCCCCCCACACAATCCCTCCTTTGTCAGCAGCACAGAGGCGCCTTCATACTGCGTCTCTCCGGGGACCATCAGGGACCTCCCATGGGACAACTGGGTTTCAGAGTCTTATAGAATATTCAAGAACTCGGTTATCAAATAACGAATCCTCATTCCTCTCTGAGGCCAGTTTCAACGCACATGAGAAAAACCCTCCAAGCAAACAAGTTGTTTTCATGTGTCACGTCTGAAAATGCCACTCATTCTTTTCCCTCGGGTCATCCTTTCCGCTCCCTCTTCATTTTCCACCAGTCTCTCCCAGACAGTCCCCTCGTTCCCCCCGTGCATTCCGGCTTCAGCGAGGCTTCCTGCCCCTGTCCTGCCGGCTCTCCACCCACAAGCCCCTGCACCCTCTCTGCAGCCTTCCCAGGGCTGGGCGGGGCCAGGCCCCCCCTTCCAGACCGGGCTCCTTTCCCACACTCAGGTGTGCGGGCACCTCCCACACTCCCCATGATCTCCTTCTTCTGAAGCCAACGCCCAGGACAGGCCAGCAGGGAGGCTGCCCTTCTGCGTGGATGTGAACATAACACCAAGAGCCCTCGGGGTTCACAGTGGGGTCTCTGATAAGAGGAAGGAGGTCATGCGGCTCCAGACGCCCTGTAAGAAGGTTGTGAACCCACCAAACGCACATCAGAAGGCCGGGAGGCTGATTCTCCCCACCCCACGTGAGAAGCACACACCGAGCCCACTGAGATGGAATTCCTTTGCCCATTTCCCACCCATACGTCCCCTGTCCGTGGCCGTAGGGGCACCAGACAAAGAAGTGAACATTAGCAAGAGGAATGGCAGCAGCCACTGACCTTGCAGGCTGTTCTAACCTCAGGGACCCCGCTGACATGCATAAACTCACCCCCAAACAACCACAAGCCGCGCTTCCTCCCGCTGCCCTCCGCGGCTCCTAACACTAGTGCAGGTTTGTTTTGAGCTGGGCCCACGTCAGTCTGCACCCCAGAAGCTAGTACCTGTTTCATGGACTCTGTAATGCGCATTTGTTCACGTTTTAACATCTCTGTCATTGAGATACACGTTACAACGGGCAGCATGTTATTCTTTTGGGGAAGCATTTTTACTTTCTTTTTTTAAAAAAATATTTTTATTGATTTTTAGAAAGAGAGAAGCATTGATGTGAGAACACAACATCGATTGGCTATCTCCCACAGACCCCCCTACCGGAGATCGAGCCCACAACCCGGGCAGGTGCCCCGACCGGGAATCAAACCGGCGACCCTTCGGTGCCTGGGACAGTGCCCAGTCAACTGAGCCATGCCGGCCGGGGCAAAAGCATTTCTACTTTCTTAGAAATACATCCAGTGATGCTTCTTTTATAATCAACACATTGTGGATGTGCTCGCATATGCTAACTGCATTCGGACACAGGACCTCATAGCAGCAGAGAGAAGGGGGTGGCCAGTCTGTCCTGAGGGCTCTCTCTCCAGGCCTGGCTCCCCCCAGCCACACTGTCACCTGAAGCCAAAGTGGAGAGAGACAGCCTGGTGTGCAAACTCCACAGTTTGGATTTCATCTGTAGGTTACTTTTTAAAGACAGCAGTTATAGGACAAGATCTATTTTTCAGAAAGACAATATAACGGGAGCAGGGGAGCCCCCTCATGGGGAGCTCTTAGAAGGGTGCATCTGAGCAGTGACGTGGGCTTGAGCTACGCAGGTGGGAACCCGGGAGACAACAGTTCTCACCAGTACCTGAGGAACGAAAAGGCGAGTCCCCCCAGCTCAGCCCGCTCCCACACTTCCGGGGGCCCTTACGTGGAATCCAGCAGGGTCCCGTCCAGAAGCGAGGCGTTGTAGTGATACTTGAGGTAATCCCCCTTCTTACTCAGCACCGAGCAGTCGGGGGGCTTGTAGTGGGACGTGATGCTGATGGAGTCTGAAGGGTTGTGGAAGTCGATCACGTGGATGTCAAACACCAGCACGGCCGAGCCGGGGATATTCCCTAGAGGACAGACGGGAAATCGGTGAGGGAACCCGCAGCAGCAGGTCATGGGCCGCCCCACCACCACACAGGTCCTCACAGGTGTCCAGCGAGGAACACCGGACTCGGCACGAAATCCTAGGGAATGCCGGAAGAATGAAAGAATGAAGCTAGAAAGGCCATTAGAAGTAACCCAACCCTCACTCCATAGATGGGGAAACTGAGGCACAGGCCTGCCCAGGGTCACGCAGCCAGTTAGGGGCACACTTTGTACTACAATTCAAGATGATGAGCCCCTGCCCCATGGGATCGGTGAGCCTGAAGGATTTCCAGCTGAGTTCAGCACAGATGAGAGTAAGGCTCAGCCACACTAAGGCTCGCCCGCTCCTCCCAGAAGGACGAGGTGAGACGAGGAAATCGGCTGTAGTGACAGTCACTGCGCAAGACGAAGCAATTCAACAGAAGCGCATGAGGAGCAGCCTGCAGCCCGATGTCCCCAAGTACCTTCACGACACCTCCCACTTGTTTTTTCTGCACAAAATCGTAAAGACAGCTTTCTCTTCCATTATCTCCACTTCTGAGAGCATTACCTCTGAATCATGTTTTCATTTACAGAAGTGCTTTTCATATACATTCTCTCATCCAATCTGTGCAGCAACCCGGAGGGGAAACCAGCTGTGATAAAATGCAACGCCAGGGCCCTGGCCAGTTTGGCTCAGCGGTTAGAGCATCCGCCTGCGGTCCGGAGAGACCTGGGTTCGGTTCCTGATAAGGGCATGTGCCTCGGTTGCAGTTTGTCCCCGGCCCTGGTTGGTCGTGCGGGTGGCAGTCACCCGATGTGTCCCTTTCACATCGATGTTTCCCTCTCTCTGTCTTCCTCTCTCTCCCTCCCACTCTGTACAAAAAATGGAAAAATGTCCTCGGGTGAGGATAAAAAAAAAAAAATGCAACGCCAGGGATGAGCCTGCGAACCCCACGGACAGCCCAGCGGTGCGTCCGCTCCACAGACATTTACTGACCGTGTACGATGTGCCTGGCCCTGTGGACGGTGGTGAGGAAACCACAAATGTCCTCTATGTCTTGACACCCTTCTGAGGCTGGTCTCTCAGGGATTCGCATTAGGTGCCAATCAAAACAGGACAGAGGGGACCCCTGAACAAAAGCACCTGGGTGTTACACATCAGGGTGCCCCTCCTCCACAGCAATACATGACTCAGGATGAAGCAGCCTCAAGCCCAGAACAATTAGGAGCCTTCTGATGCTTCCCAGAACCTCAGATAATTCTCTGCAGAGTTCTGTCTCATAGTTGACAGCAAGCCAAAAGGAGAAAAATAATTTAAGCAAATGTTTCCCATCAATATATTATTTGGAGAGAAAGGAAGGATTAGTCCTGAGGGCATAATTATACAAACATAAATACTCAGAAAGCAGTTTTCTATTTCTGTGTGTATTTGGCTAGAAGTAGAAGTTTACATGATACAAAACAACCAAGCGTCAAGGCACCAGACACAAACGGGACATGAAGCAAGGCCTGTTCAACATGTCTTAAGCTGTGATCTGTGGTGGCTTCATAAATCAGAAATTTAAATCAGGGAGAAAAAGAATGCGCTTCTCCACGGTACAATCAACCTGGTGTTTCTTAGATAACTCTGGACATACCCTGCTGGGAAAATTCCCAGCATCCACATGCCATACTGGCAGTAGTCAGAAAGGATTAACAGAATGAATGTGTACAGCCTGCCAGGCCAGCCAGGATCCCATCAGCAAAAAGAAAACAAAAGCAAAATAAATACTGCATCAACTATTTCTAAGCAAGCTAGCAAAAAAAAAAAAAAAGGTATATGAGAAAGAACATAATTAAGAAAGAAAATATGGCCCTGGCCAGTTTGGCTCAGCGGTTAGAGCGTTGGCCTGCAGTCCGGAGAGACCCGGGTTTGGTTCCCGCTAAGGGCACGTACTTCGGTTGCAGTTTGTCCCCGGCCCTGGTTGGTCGTGCGGGTGGCAGCCACTCGATGTGTCCCTTCACGTCGATGTTTCTCTCTCTCTCTCTCTTCCTCTCTCTCCCTCCCACTCTATCTGTACAAAAAATGGAAAAATATCCTCGGGTGAGGATAAAAAAAAAAAAAGAAAGAAAGAAAATATGGCTTGAAATACTATGCACTCATTAAAAATAATGTTGGCATGGAGACTTTTCAAAACAAATTAGGTGGAGAGAGAAATGACAAAGTTATCTTTGTAGATGATCCCATTTTTGTTAGTACTTGCAAAGGTGGATGTGTTTCCTGTTATCTACATAGATTCACATATAGTCAAAAGTACAGAAGAGTAATTTGGGGTGGTGAGCACACAGTACACTATACAGACGATGTATTATAGAACTGTACATCTGAGCCCGGACGGTGTGGCTCAGTGGTTGAGCATCGACCCATGCACCAAGAGGCTGCTGGTTTGATTCTTGGTCAGGGCGCATGCCCAGGTTGTGGGCCCAGTCCCTAGTGAGGGGCATGCAGCAGGTGGCCAATCGATGTTCTCTCTCATCGATGTTTCTGTCTCTCCCTGTCCCTTCCTCTCTTTCTAAAAATCAATAAAGGAAAAAAATTTTTTTTAAATGTACATCTGAAAACTACATAATCTTATTAACCAACGTCACCCCAATAAATTCAATAAAAGAAACATGTAAAAGAGTGTTTACTTCCTGGCTGTATTAGTCTCCTACTGCTGCTATGACAAATCACTACTGACTTGGTGATGTGATGTCCTCGCCTTTTCCAGCTTCTCAAGGTCACCCTCGTCCCTTGACTTGTGGCCCCTTCTTCCATCTGCTAAGTCAGCAGCTTGGTGTTTTCTACTCTGACCTCCTGTTTCTCTTTTACAAAGACTCCTTTTTTTAATTTAATTTTTTTTTTTTGGTATATACCCCTAGCGGGAACCGAACCCGGGTCTCTCTGGACCGCAGGCCGACGCTCTAACCGCTGAGCCATACCGGCCAGGGCTGCAAAGACTTGTAAATACATCATGGCTGCCTGGATGACCTGGGATAATCTCCCCATTTCAGGATTTTTACCTTCATCATATTCGCAAAGTCCCTTTTGCCATGAAAGGTTCACAGTTTCTGTGGAGCGGACATAGGGTTGCTCTTTTTCTATTTTTTTGTTTGTTTGTTTGTTTGTTTGTTAATCCTCAACCAAAGGTATTTTTCCATTGATTTTTAGAGAGAGTGAAAGGGAAGAAGGAAGGGAGAGAAACATTGATGTGAGAGAGACGCATCTATTGGTTGCCTCCTGCACAACCCCAAACAGGGCTAGGGATCAAATGTGCCACCCAGTTACATGCCCTTGACCAGGAATTGAACTCAAGACCCTTCATCTGAGGGCTGATGCTCTACCTGCTAAGCCAGGGCCCAGGGACACTCTTTTGCTTACCACATCACAATGTTTATTCCTAGGCTGTGGGATTAGGGGAGATTTTTATTTTGTTCATCTGTATTTTCTGTTTCTAAAATAAACATGTATTATTTGTATCATTTTTAAAAGGGAGTTTGTGGATGGAGTGACAAAACTATTCTATCCCTGCCTGGCCAGTGTGGCTCAGTGCACCAAAAGGTCGCCGGTTCAATTCCCGGTCAGGGCACATACCCAGCTCGTGGGCCCAATCCCCAGTGGGGGCATGCAGGGGGCATGCAGGAGGCAGCCGATCAACGTACTCTCTCGTTGATGTTTCTATTTCTCTCTCCCTTTCCCTTCCTCTCTCTCTAAAAAAAAAAAAAAAAAATCAATAAAGGAAAAAAAATTTTTTTAACTGTTCTAAACCTGGAGTGGAGTGATAGCCGCACAATTCACTACATTTACTAAAAGGCATTGAGCTGTATCCTTAAAACAGGTGGATGTTACAGCATATACATTAAATTATACCAAAAAAAAAAAAAGCTGTTAAAAAGCAAAAAGGGGGCCCTGGCCGGTTTGGCTCAGCGGTTAGAGCGTCAGCCTGCGGTCTGGAGAGACCCGGGTTCAGTTCCCGCTAAGGGCATGTACTTCAGTTGCAGTTTGTCCCCGGCCCTGGTTGGTCGTGCGGGTGGCAGCCACTTGATGTGTCCCTTCACATCGATGTTTCTGTCTCTCTCTCCCTTCCTCTCTCTCCCTCCCACTCTATCTGTACAAAAAAAATGGAAAAATATCCTCGGGTGAGGATAAAAAAAAAAAAGAAAAAAGGGGGTTTTGCAACTTACTTTCAAATGGGTCAACAACAAAAACATAATTTATAGAGGAGAGAGAGAAGACAGCAGGATGTTACAGTGGGGGAAGAAAGGCTTCGCTGCACAGCCTTTCAACTTTGGTGCAGGTGTAAAGTTCCAGAAGGCCGAGGAAAGCGGACAGGGAACAACAGAGCACCTCTGAGCTGTCAAGCCGTAAGCTGGACTTCGGTGTGGACGCCTTGCTCCAGGACCAGCCTGCCAGCGTCAGTGCGCTTGGTGGGACCTGCAGAAGGCAGCCGCGCTCACCTCTCCCCTCCTCCCCGTACCCCAGGTGAGGGGGGACCACGATCCTCCGCTTCTCTCCGATGCAAACACCCAGCAAGCCTTCGTCCATCCCGGCGATCACGTAGCCCTGCCCAATGTACGTGTCAAAGGTGCGGTTCCGCGAGTAGCTGGAAAAGAAGGAAAGACAGAGGTTCCTCACAAGGGACACCACAGCAGCTGTGACATTCGTCAGCACAGCGAGCAGCAGGACACAGAGGCCGCCAGCCCCCAGGACACAGTGAGCCTGACAGTCGGAGGATACAGCCAGGAAAAGGCTCCTGTGTCCACACCCAGCGGCGAGGCGGCGGTGGACGGGGCACCCCAGAAACAAGCCCTCCAGCCCTCTGGCCAGCCTCTGAATAGGACGCAGTGACGAGGGGCGTCCCCAGCAATGTAGCTAATGTAAACTGGACTGCACGCTTGGCAACCATGTCAAGCTAATAATAAAAAGCCAAGGGAGCCCTTATCAGAAACTAAGAGTGTGTGGAGGACAAGGTCTCCAGCCTCTGATGAGAATGTCTGCACAGGTGGACGCGAATGCCCAGGTCGCCAGCAAAGCGGCATGTGCTCTGGGAGCAACCGAATTCTGCAGCCTCCGCCGGCGCCTGGTGAACTCTCCCTGCTGCGCCCACACTACCTCTGGCGAGGACGGAGCTTCCCCGGTGCCAATGGCAGGCGCCCCAGCTCCCGCCCGGCCGGCGGAGAGAGCCAGGCGCGGGGAACTGCCAACTGAGGTCAAGTATCATGACTTCGGTGAGAAGCAGCAGCAGTTCCCCAAAGCCTGATGATTCCAGAATACAGTGAGAAAACTTCATCTGCCACGTCTACTACCCAACTCTGAACCATCGCGATCCGTATCCACGCCCCTCCGGCACCTGGGGCAGATGAGGCATGAAGCCTGTCCCGAAAGAGCCAGCGGGCCCGGTCAGTCCTTCATCACACACACTCCCCACGACCTCAGAGAAGGTGGGGCGGGGTCTTCCTTCTCAACACCCTCACAGACCGCAAAGCCAAGGGGCGTGAAGAAATGGTGGCAGAGGCTTCTCCTCCCCAGGAGGCAGACCATCCCATGGCCTCTGCAGGAGGCAGACCATCCCATGGCCCCTGCAGGAGGGAGACTATCCCATGGCCCCTGCAGGAGGGAGACTATCCCATGGCCCCTGCAGGAGGGAGACTATCCCATGGCCCCTGCAGGAGGCAGACCATCCCATGGCCCCTGCAGGAGGCAGACCATCCCATGGCCCCTGCAGGAGGCAGACCATCCCATGGTCCCTGCAGGAGGGAGACCATCCCATGGCCCCTGCAGGAGGGAGACCATCCCATGGCCCCTGCAGGAGGGAGACCATCCCATGGCCCCTGCAGGAGGGAGACCATCCCATGGCCCCTGCAGGAGGGAGACCATCCCATGGCCCCTGCAGGAGGGAGACCATCCCATGGCCCCTGCAGGAGGGAGACCATCCCATGGCCCCTGCAACCGGAGTACGTGCCCTTAGCGGGAACTGAACCCGGGTCTCTCCAGACCGCAGGCCGACGCTCTAACCGCTGAGCCAAACTGGCCAGGACCAGGCTCAGCTCTCCACCCTCTCAACTGCCCCAGGGGATGGCCTCTCCAGCAGGTGTTTAGTGATCATCAGCAAAGAGCAGCTGATAGCCATTCAGGAAAGAGGAGGGTACCAGTGAGATAGGATCACTTATAGACACCAGGTGTGGGAGCCGGTGGCAGGTGCCTCAGAGCCGAGAAAAACCACCAGTTGGAATAATCAGCAAAGGTGCCATGGGTTTGGGGAGAAGGTGACCCTGAGGATACAAGGACTGGCTTGTGGGTAACAGGGAGGCCGAGGCCTAGGAGCAGGAAAGAGCTGCAGAAGAGAGAAGAGGAGCAGGGTGGGCTTGAAGTATAGAGAATTTTAAATAACTTTAAAATAAGACTGAAATAAATGGAAAACCATCATGTCCCCCAATGAGAAAGCTGAGAATTGTTACCAATGCTCCCCAAAACTAATGTATGAATTTTATAACAATTCCAATCAAAATTGGAGTGGTGTGTATGGGGGAGGAAACAGATCCTAAATTTCATTTGGAAAAAGAAATAATCAAGAATGCTATTTGGGCCCTGGCCGATTTGGCTCAGCGGTAGAGCGTTGGCCTGTGGTCCAGAGAGACCCTGGTTCGGTTCCCGCTAAGGGCACGTACCTCGGTTGCAGTTTGTCCCCGACCCTGGTTGGGTCGTGTGGGTGGCAGCCACTCAATGTGTCCCTTTCACGTCGATGTTTCTCTCTCTCTTTCCCCCTCCCACTCTATCTGAACAAAATATCGAAAAATATCTTTGGGTGAAGATTTAAAAAAAGAAAAGAAAAGAAAAAGAATACACTCTCATACAAATTGAAAAGCTACAATAGTTTAAGGTATGACACTGGCCCAGGAAGAGTTAGACCAGTGGAAAAGGATAAAAATTCTAGACAAAGACCCAAAAATATATTAAAGAATTTGGTACATAATAAAAGTCAGATTTTTGATGAGTGAGGGAAAAAAACAGAGTTATTCAATAAATGGTGTTGGAAACACTAGGTAACCATCTGGAAAAAACTACTTAGATCCTTACAGTCACACTGAATACCACAACAAATTCCAGATGGATTGAAGATTTAAACATGAAAGCATTTATAAGCATGGAGAGAGACTGTGGAAGGTTATTAATATTTACCCTGAGTAGTGAGACTAGAGAGGTTGATGGAAAATCATTGCATTTTTTTATATAGCTTTGCATTGTTAAACTTCTATAATAAGAACATAAACTTTGGAAAATAAAAATTCTAATAGCCCTGGCCAGTTTGGCTCAGCGGTTAGAGCATCGGCCTGCGGTCCAGAGAGACCCGGGTTCGGTTCCCGCTAAGGGCACATAACTCGGTTGCAGTTTGTCCCTGGCCCTGGTTGGGCCCTGCGGGAGGCAGCCACTTGATGTGTCCCTTTCACATCAATGTTTCTCTCTCTCATCCTCTCTCTCCTTGCCACTCTATCTTAACCAAAAAATGAAAAATGTCCTCAGGTGAGGATGAAAAAAAAAATTCTAATAAAGAATATTTTACAGGATAAAAAAAATAAAACCATTAACAAAGCATGAGAAAAATGCAGGCAAATATTTATATACTCTAAGGGGGGAGACAGACTTTTTAGCAAGTCACTGAAGACAGAATATGTAAGAATGTATATAAGAATAAAGAAAGCCATAAAGGAGAAGTGGAATTTTTTAACAACAAAAAAGTTTACATTTAAATAAGTCAAAAATCACAATAACCAAAATTAAAATGCAAATAAGCAGACAATATGTTTTCAACAATATACAACCATAAAAGGGGTACAGTAATATCTTTAATGTGCAGAGTCTTTGAATCAATTAGAAAAAGACAAACAGCAATACCCTCAATATAAAACCAGGCAAAAGAAATAAACAGGTAAATCACAAAAGAAGATACCAGAATAGTCAATAAACATTGGAAAGAATTTCAACCTTAATAGCAATAGCAATCAAAGAAATTCAGGTCAAAGCTATAAGATTCCCTTTTTCTTCTACAAATGGGCAAAGATGAGTTGAAAAGGACACCCAGTGTTACTACGTTCACAGGGAATGGGACATTCTCAGGCAGCGATGAAACCATCCTTGAGGACAGCCTGGCAGTGTTTACCAAATGCTCTAAAAATACACATAACCTGAAATCCAGAGATTCTTCTCGAAATGTATCCCAAGGAAACAATTTATCATATACTTCAAGACTGAGCCACTAAAAATTACTGGGCCCTACCTAACATGTCAAAATGTAGAAAACAATAGGGGCTGATTACCCAAATAAGACAAATGGATACAATGAAATATTATTTAGTGGTTAGGATAGGCTAGATCCTCATGTGCTCAAATGACAACCTGTTTGAAACCTAAGAAAACTGATTCCATTAATATGGAAAGAAATCTGGCATCCACAAGAAAAAATGGTCTTTCAAATGAAATATAATTCCCAGGATAAAGGACAGAACCAAGTTCTTATGTGATAAGTAATAATATATACACACACACATTGGAGATTTTTTTTGTAATAGAATTAAGAATAAAAACAACTCAAATGTTCATCAACAGAGGAATGGTTAAATAAATATGGTACATTCATCAGTGAAACATTAGGCAGACATAAAAAATAATGATTTGCCCGGCCGGTGTGGCTCAGTGGTTGAGTGTCAACCCATGCACCAAGAGGTCACTGGTTCGATTCCCAGTCAGGGCACATGCCCAGGTTATGGGCCAAATCGCCAGTGGGGGGCATGCAGGAGGCAGCCAATAGATGTTTCTATCTCTCCCTCTCCCTTCCTCTCTCTCTAAAAATCAATAAAGAAAATAAGTAAATAAATAAAATGATTTCTCTCTATATATTAATATGGAAAAATCCCACGGTGAAAAAAAGCAAGGAGCAGAATGTACGGTAGACATGCTGTGGTGGGCCGTTAGACAGGCATGAGCAGAGTAAGGACCATAGGCCAGGCATGGAAGGTCACCCAGGGCCCTGGGTGCCTAGCAATGGACAATTATAAGGTAGGACCTCCCCCACAGGGTGACCTTTCCTCCCTTGGCGTACTGCTAGCTCCCCTAGGTTTAAACCCCCTACATGCGATTTAGACACCCTGACCTTTCACATGGCTGGTCATGCAGTTCAGACCCTCCCCTGGCATGGCCTTGGAAGAGAACAAGGGAGCTGGAGAACAGCCTCCTAACACTCCCATACAAGTTCTTGCTCAACCACTCCCTTAAGCATTAGCCCTCAGGACACTGAGGTTCTGACCTGCATCAGATAATCTTAGGAACAAAGCCTCCAGTCTGTTGACCACAGAGTCAGAGTTTTGGTCAAACCAGAGATAACATCTAGGCCTCAGTTGTGTTTCAGCTCCAGGCCCAGAAAAGCAGCAAAACTAGAAAAAGTGACGCCATGGCTGACGTCAGGTCCAGACGCAATGACCAATGACCCCCTTCCCTAGTGCCAACCAGTCAGTAGAGACCAGACCCTGAAAGGACACACTCATCAAAACTGATGAATATTCTATTGAGATCCTCCCCTGGGACCTCCCCTAAGATCCCACCTTTAAAGGGCAGAGAAAAGCCCTCAGGATAGAAGACCCGGGGCACTTGCTCCTTCTCTCCCCTGAGCAGGCCCATCCCCCCCCCCTTTCCCAGGGCGCTCTCTCTGGGGGAGCCTGCGCCTTCCCCGCTCCTTCCTCCAGGCTCATACCTTTGCTTCTTTCTCCTAAGTTCCAAGAGCCCTTCTTTTGACTCTGTAACTCGTTTCCTGAGCTCACGCAGCCCAACTGGCTCACTTCTTCCGTGGCTCACGTCTTCTACCTCTGTGACTTTCTAAACAAATTTGTGCTTGTATTTGAGTCTTGGCTCTGAATTCTTTCCTAGCCAGAACTCAAGTACCGAGGTTGCTGAACCGAGGTCCAATTGCCGGTAACTTTCTGGTGCCGTTTCGCCGCTAACAATACTTTATACCATATTCTATATGCTATACACTATAAAGGGGAGAAAATAAGATAACATTTGTATCTGCATTAGAAAAAATAATAATCCACACACTAAAAGAATAAAAAGGGACTTAAGAAAAGCGGTAAGCTTGTAGAGGGGGATGTGAGGTAGGCAGGGCCAGGCGGTACAACATTTCTTAAGGCGTACTTGGCTTTAATTTTGAACCGTGACTATCACTTTTTCCAAAAAAAAAAAAAATCAAATTAAAAATTGAGAAGAAGAGATCCTAGGAGAAGGAAGAATTAGTCAAATAAAATAATACTACATAGCAATTCTTTGGTCATGTTTCTGGATGACAATAAACTCCACGTCCACTGCCTTGGAGACATGAGCAGGCTGCTGTCACAGCCTGTTTGCTCTGCAGGTGTGGTTTTTAAACAGCACTTGCCACTTGCAGGAGCAAGACACATCAAGTACCAGGCATGCCCCAGCCACCCGCACACCTGTAGGCTGCACCTTATAAACAAAACACTTTGAATAACAGAGGCTTGGTAATTAAACTTTGGGACAGTAGGAAGGAAGCTGAATGCATCCAACCAGACCCCCGTGTAAAACAGCCTTTAAATTTAGGAAAGCACTTTCACCTCCCTTATGTCTTTAACCATTTCTTTGAGAAAGGAGCTAATGACAGGTAAAAAAACAACAACAACAAAAATAAAACAAAACAACAAAACCCTGAAGCTTAGCGAGCCCAAAAGCTGTCCAAAGTCACACAGTTAGGGCACCATGCACAGGGCCTGGGACAAGGTCTCCGGGCACCAAGTCTGTTCCCTTCCCATGCTACCGCCTGGACCGCCCTTGTGGCCCCTAGTTGAGTTTCTACTGGGATGCCTGAGCACAGGAGAGGGGGACGGTGGGTGTCTAGGGGGAGCCTTTCCTGTTTTCCTGCCGAGTCACGTTCCCACAGGCCCAGGGGACCGTTCTAACAGCCTCTGAAGGAATCCAGTATCAGCAAACAGCAACCTGGCTGGAGATGAAAATACTAACTCCGAGTGAGCATTCGGAGCCTGGTCCTCACCTGGAGTCAAAGAAGGTGCCGTCCAGAAGCGTGCCATTGTAATGATACCTGAGAAAGTCCCCGCTCTGGCTTCGTCGCTCACAGTTTTCAGGGACCAGCTTATTCTCAACAGAAATGCCATCCTTGGGGTTGTGAAGGTCCAGCAATGCAACATCAAATACCAGGGAAGCCTGCCCAGGAATGTCCTTCCCTGGAGTGCAACGGAGGAAGGTGGTGAAATCAGGACACAAGATGTAGGAAGCACTTCAACTGCAACGCGATACCCTCTGTGTTAGTGTAACTCATTCCTTGAAGTTCTCAAGCCGAGCAAACAAACGTTCTTCCTTGTCTTGGGTGGTTCCCCCTGGTGTCTCATCATAGGCTGGCAGGGATAATTTGAAGCCTGACTCCCTCAGAAAAAGGAGCAAAGTGATACTATTGACAGAAAAAGGAGCAAAGTGATACTATTGACACGAGCAGCCACTGTGACCATATTTTCTATGCTCGTGCTGGCAAATCAAGGCTCTAAGTGGGTGCACCCACGTGCAAACCTCAACGCATACCTCTGTGGGTTTGCTTGTGTAGAAATGCAAACCACATTATTTATTTATTTATTTAGTCATTGTTGTTAAGCCTCACCCAAGGATATTTTTCCATTAATGTTTAGATACAGTAAAGAGAAGGAAGAAGGGGAGGAAGAGAGGGAGGGAGGGAGGGAGGGAGGGAGGGAGGGAGGGAGGGAGGGAGGGGGAGAGGGAGAGGGAGAGGGAGAGAGGGAGAGGGAGAGGGAGAGGGAGAGGGAGAGGGAGAGGGAGAGGGAGAGGGAGAGGGAGAGGGAAGGGAGAGAGGGAGAGGGAGAAACATCAGTGTGAGAAAGACACATCCATTGGTTGCTTCCCACAGGACCCCAACTGGAGCTGGAAATCAAACCTGCCACCTAAGTATGTGCCCTTGACCAGGAATTGAACCTCAACCCTTCAATCCAGAGACCAACACTAAACCACTGAGCCAAACAGGCCAGGGCTCCTCAAATCATTTCTACCTCACTTCCGCCTCTCTTGGATGTTCCTCATAGTGAGGATTCACTGAATCGTCAGCAACATAATAATCCACATGGTGAGATTATTGGGCACTAGCTCTTCCTGCAAAGATCAGCATCAACCAACAAATAACTCTAAATCCAGTACTTCTGGAGAAAAGGAAGTCAACAAACCACTGACCTCTAAGGAAATCTGCTGAAACCAGGCTGCTGAGTCAGCCTCTGGAATGCAAGGTGTGGTTCGTCCTGAAATGTGACTGTGTGTGTGTGTGTGTGTGTGTGTGTGTGTGTGCGCGCGCGCGCACATGCTTGTGGGAGGGTGTGTAGCAGAATATTCATCTTTTGTACTTTTCTGTATCTTTTAATTTAAGAGAAAAAAAAACAACCTTAAAAGTCACCCCAGGGTTTAAATTTTTCTAGTATTATCATGTACTAATTGACTGCGTGTGTGTGTTTTTTTAACAACTTTTTGAGATATAATTCCCATACCATACAATTCACCTATTCAAAGTGATACCTAGATAGCTGAGCTTAGTATTAAGTATAAAGCATTTAAAAAGTTACTGTTTTAGCCCTGGCCGGTTTGGCTCAGCGGTTAGAGCCTCGGCCTGCGGTCCTGAGAGACCCAGTTCGGTTCCCGCTAAGGGCGCGTACCTCGGTTGCAGTTTGTACCCGGCTCTGGTTGGGTCGTGCGGGTGGCAGCCACTCGATGTGTTCCTTTCGCATCGATGTTTCTCTCTCTCTCTCTGTTCCTCTCTCTCCCTCCCACTCTACCTGAACAAAAAATGGAAAAATGTCCTCGGGTAAGGATTAAAAAAAATAATAATAAAAAATAAAAATAAATAAAAAGTTACTGTTTTAAATAAGCTATTTTAAATATTTTTTCTTTATTGATTTTAGAGAGAGAGGAAGGGAGAGGGAGAGAGAGAGAGAAACATCGATGAGAAAGAATATTGACTGGCTGCCTCCTGCATACTCCCCACTGGGGATCAGGCCCACAACCTGGGCATGTGCCCTGACCAGGAATTGAACTGGTGACCTCTTGGTGCATAGGTCAGTGCTCAACCACTGAGCCACACCAGCCAGGCTAAACTATTTATTTTAAATATTCATATTATTAATTATTTAAAATAAATAATGGTCCTCACATTAGGCTAGGCATCTGGTTTTATTATGTATGTCAGGCGCATGTGGATGATGTCAAAAGACTTTGGTAGACAAGGTGAATGACTGTCCAACTGGTTAAGGACCAGACAATTAGAGCATCAATAAAAATAACAACGTATCTCAGGAAGGGAGAATTAAGACACATTTGTGGAAATTGTTCCTAAATGTTTCTTTTAGCATCCAATTTCTTTCTTTCTTTCTTTCTTTCTTTCTTTCTTTCTTTCTTTCTTTCTTTCTTTCTTTCTTTCTTTCTTTCTTTTTTTTTCCTTTATTGATTTTAGAAAGAGGAATGGAGAGGGAGAGAGAGCCAGAAACATCGATTGGCCGCCTCCTGCATGCCCCCACTGGGGATTGGGCCTATAACCTGGGCATGTGCCCTAACCAGGAATCAAACTGGCGACCTCTTGGTGCAAGGGTCGATGCTCACCCAGTGAGCCACACCAGCCAGGCTCCCACCCAGCTTCTTAAAGGAACTCTCTGCAGGTCCCCAGCATGTATAATATATAAAAGGGCAGGAGGACAGAGGAGAAGTCTGAGCCTCATTACCTTGGGTTCCCCTCCAGCTCTGTATCTTGGAAAACATTACATTAGGGGGTTGACTATAAGTTGGGTAGCATTGTCCATAAACTCCTTAAACAGCACCACATTTTCATTTATATTTATATATATATATATATAAAATCTGCTTGCTCAAACGCCCAGGTGTCTCTCTGTTGTATCAGACTATCGGTATCAATAAATGTGCCTGAAATTCAAAATATGAGCAACTGAGAAATTCTATTTATGCCTATATTCTGTTTTCCCCTCACCATAAAACAAGTATAACAATTCAATGAATTAAAATTAATGTTTTTTTCCCTTAACAGTGTGCTTTGCCTTTGTCCCCCTGGAGCTAATGCCACAGGTAAAACCCATCACGGAGGTACAAATCCGGGGGGGCAGGGAAATGGCAATTCTGGTATTCAGTGCTAAATTTCTACTTTGATGCCTACAATCTTTAGACTGTCTAGTTCAAATCTCACTTCACAGATGGGAAAAACACAGGCCGGAGAGGTTGGCGTCCAAGGCTGTAGCTTAGGAGGAGGTGGCAGGCGGCTTACATATGAATGCCAGTGACCGTAAGTAAGTGGAGATTTCCGCCGCTCAGTCGTCAGACAGCAGACGAGCCAGGCAGCACTGTCCCACCCAGCGCTCTGCAGAGATGGAAACGCTGTGCCTGCACCGTCCAGCACAGTGGCCCTCAGCAATGGAAACAGCCATCGGCAGCTAATGGCTACCATGCTGCGCGGCGCAAGTCTAGGCCAAAGGGTTTCCACGTAGCAAGTTGCACTAATCACTGCAACAGAAATAGGATCGGAGGAGAGTGGCTGAGAGTGGGAAGGACTCACCGTCTCCGTCTTCTCCGTAGGCCAGGAAAGGAGGGATGGTGATGATGCGTTTCTCCCCCACACACATCCCCAGCAGCCCTTTATCCATTCCTGGAATCAGCCAGCCAATTCCCACATAGGTGTCATATGTCTTCATGCGATTGTGACTGAAAACCAAGGAGAAAGGGAAGAAGTTCCATACCATTGGGACATTTCTAACTCATCCCTCCACAGGGTGTCTGTTACACACATCTCGCTGAACAATGACCCCATGCCCATCCCTGGGGACAAGCACATGAGCGTCTTGGCTCCCAACCACAGAGCACGCGGCCTAGAATGTATGAAAAGCATGTAATTAGGCCACAGCGATGCACAGAAATAAGCTTGTTCTTCTGTCTAACGAAACATACACTGGAATGAGAGGAAGGGTTCACTTCCGCACTTAGCACCTTACACTCACACTTCTCCAAGCTTCACACACACTCAGCCCTCCCTTCCACCTTCCATGGAAAAGCTATAACAATGAACCAAACAAAAGCATGAACTATGTGGTCATAGGGCCCTTCACTTAATGAGATCTGAAAACACTGTTAATCTTGATCAACATCATTCTTAGGCTTTTCTAAGATGTTTTACGATTTTCACTCTGGCACTATGGAACGGGAAATATTACCCAAAAGCCTTATGTGAAGAAGTTGATGCTGGTGAAAGCTGAAGGGCCCGTGTTCTGGTTTTTCCATGGGCATAAAAAGCAGGTGAGGCAGAGGAACTCGGGCATTTCACTGATACGAGCATGACTGTGGGACTTACCTCGAATCAAACAGCGTCCCATCCAAGAACGTCCCGTTGTAGTGGTACCTAACGAAATCAGACACCTGGATGGCCCGAGGGCAACTCGGGGGCTTGAAGTAAGTGTGAACCTGAATCTGGTCTTCAGAGTTCCAGATGTCCATCAGAAGCACGTCAAAGTGAAGGACTGAGTTGGGGGGGATCACACCAGCTAGAAATAAAACAGAGTTTACACTGACAAGCTGCTGCCTGTCAGTCCCAATGAACACCCAGGCTGCTGCAGGGTGCTCGAGGGGACCGATGAACACCCAGGCTGCTGCAGGGTGCTCGAGGGGACCGATGAACACCCAGGCTTCTGCAGGGTGCTCGAGGGGACCGATGAACACCCAGGCTGCTGCAGGGTGCTCGAGGGGACCGATGAACACCCAGGCTGCTGCAGGGTGCTCGAGGGGACCGATGAACACCCAGGCTTCTGCAGGGTGCTCGAGGGGACCGATGAACACCCAGGCTGCCGCAGGGTGCTCGAGGGGACCGATGAACACCCAGGCTGCCGCAGGGTGCTCGAGGGGACCGATGAACACCCAGGCTGCTGCAGGGTGCTCGAGGGGACCAGGCAACCAGTTCCCACATGAGCCACACCTCCCCTTTCCTCCAAGTGAAAGAGAAAGCAAAGAGAAAAACCAACATTTCCCTCTCGACGCAGGTAACATTCACTGCACCTGTGTTAACAATACCTTCTTTCACATCTAGAAGAAATAAACCTAAGATAGACATGTTAGCTGTGTCTGTGTGTGCGTGTGTGTACATGTGTGTCTGTGCATGTGTGTGTATGTGCATGTGTGCGTGTGCACGCGTGTGTGTGCTCACTGCTTCTTAACCTCCCCAGCCTACAGCTTGCAAGGATTCTCCGGTCGGCCTGACCAAACAGCCTGCCGGCGTTCTGGCTGTTTCTGCAGATGTGTTGACAAACACGAAGAGACACTCACAGACGCCTTCGCTCCCGTAAGCGAGCTTTGGGGGGATCTTCACAAAACGCCGCTCGTTCACGCACATGCCGACCAGAGCCTGGTCCATCCCTGCAATCAGCTGTCCTTTCCCCACGAACACGTTGAAAGTGGAGTCTCTGTCGTAGCTAAGACCCAAAAGGTAGGGCGAGAGAAAGAAAAGCATGAATAAGGTTTCCCTTAGCGAAGCCAACCTGCGGAAATGTCCCCACGGACAGAGTGAGGTCTGCAAAGCAAAAAGTCTGAGGAGGCATTAGTGCCGCACCAACAGTTCTGGTAGGGCTGGGATTTTTAATACTGTGAATATTGCCAGCAAATCGAGTTAGAGCGCATCAGCATAATTCACCCCCCAAAATAATCAAAATAGCTACCAACTACTCCACTAAAATCACAGTTTACTCCATTTCCGTGGGATTGGTACCTAAAAGCAACATCCTAGGTACTAATACCCGAGTTCAAATAGGTTTCTAGTCTTTTGAGTCGACATGGTAACTAGAGGCAGCATGGTGGGTCGTGGAGGGCGCCTAAACTCCTACCCTCTGAGTGGACCTGGAGGGACCTGGAGAGTATACTGCTGAGCGAAATAAGCCAGTCAGAGAAAAACAAGTACCATGTGATCTTACTTATTTATGGAATATCATAAACAAAATAAGCTGTCGATCAAAATAGATTCAGAGACATGGAAGTAGGGAACAGACTGACAAACCTCAGAGAGAAGGGGGTAGAAGGGTTAGGGAGAGGTAAACCAAAGAACTTATATGCATATATGCACAACCAATGGACAGACAATAGTTTGGGGAAAGCAGGAGGTAGGTGGGAGTAGGGAGGTGGGGGGTCAAAGGGGAAAAAAGGGGGACATCTGTAATACTTTCAACAATAAAAAATAAAAATAACAGACTTCTGTTATGGGAATGTAATATACAGCATGTGGTCTACAATTATTTTGTATATTACATTTCATATTTGTAAGTTGCTAAGAGAGTAGATCTTAAAAATTCCCATCACAGCCCCGGCCAGTTTGGCTCCGTGGTTGAGCGTCGACCCATGCACCAAGAGGTCGCCTGCCGGTTCGGTTCCTGGTCAGAACACATGCCCAGGTTGTGGGCCAAATCCCCGGTGGGGGGCGCGCAGGAGGTGGCCAATCAATGTTCTCTCTCATCGATGTTTCCATCTCTCTCTCCCTCTCCCTCTAAAATTAATAAAGAAAAAAAAAGAAAAAGGAAAAATTCCCATCACAAGCCCAGCTGATGTGGCTCAGTGGATGGAGCATCCTCCCATGGACTGAGAGGTCCCAGTTCAATTCCCAGTCAGGACACATGCCTGGGTTGCGGCTCAGTCCCCAGTAGGTGGCGTGCAGGAAGCAACCGATTGATGTTTCTATCTCTCTCTCTCACTTCCTCTCTCTAAAAAAACAGAAATTCCCATTACAGGAAAAACATTTTTGTGACTAGGTGTGGTGACAGATATTAACTATTTTATTGTGATGATCATTTTTGCAATACATCTGAATATCAAATCATTATGTTGTACACCCAAAACTAATACGTTATATGTCAATTATATCTCAATTAAAAATTTGAAAATTAAAAAAAAATTCTAGCCCTGGCCAGTCTGGCTCAGCGGTTAGAGCGTCGGCCGGCGGTCCAGAGAGACCCGGGTTCGGTTCCCGCTAAGGGCACGTACCTCAGTTGCAGTTTGTCCCCGGCCCTGGTCGGTCGTGCGGGTGGCAGCCACTCGATGTGTTCCTTTCACGTCGATGTTTCTCTCTCTCTCTGTTCCTCTCTCTCCCTCCCACTCTACCTGAACAAAAAATGGAAAAATGTCCTCGGGTGAGGATAAAAAAAAAAAAAAAAAAATTCTATTCATTGGCAGGATACACTCATTAAGAGAAAAATGCAGGCTACAAAGCCATGGTATAAAATAATTCCATTTTGAATTTACATATATAGATGCACATGAAAAAATCCACAAAGCAATACATGAAACTATTATCAATGATAATCTATGGGTGGGAGATTAGGGGTGATTCGTTTTCTCTTTAATTCTCTCTTAATTTTCAAAATGATCATGCAATATTTGTGTATTAAAATGTTAAGAACTGTTGGAATTTATCTCAGTACGATGCACTGCCCTTCATCTGGTAAATTACTTCCACCGTTTCTTCATTTTCGCTTTAAAAAGCTCAGGAAAACAGCACAGTACCCCTCACCACAAGCCAGCGCAGCTTCCTCAGGCCCAGCCCGCCCTTCCCTTTGTCCTCCCAGTTTTATGGCCCATTTTAATAGCCTTCCTTTCTCCAAGGTCACTGAACAGAAAACAAGATTCCAAGTTCAGGCCAACAAGCCAGAGGACAAAAGAACATGGTCAGCTTTGTGCCCTAGAGGGCTTTACACCTCCACCCTCAATCCCTGGAGGACCAACGCCCACCCCTTCTAATGCCAGCTCTTGAATTCCACGTGGCCGGGTGGCCATGCCATGAGCCACCATCAAATTGGGAGGGTTTATGTTAATAATGGACCAGAACTCAAGGCTTCAAAGACTCCCCAGGCACAGAATACGCACAAACGGCAACAATGCACAGGCTGAAAACTACTCATCACTGTTTTTCATCCACAGCATCTGAATATAGTTCCCAAATTTACTGAGAATTTCTAATAACTACTATGTAGAGAGTGTTTATCACGTCAGGAGCCGAAGCAAACTCCCACCCTCCAGGCACAGAGCCTCCCTGGACAACTATAAAAACTGTTACCGCCTCACATTATTAACTTCATCTGATTACTCCCTAAACAAAGTGCTAAAAACAAAAACACCCTTCTAAAAGAAAATGTCATTTACATCCATGAGAGATTAATAATGCAAGACTAATCTTATCTACTGCTGAAGACTCTGACCATCTGGAAAAATGAAGTTGTTCTGAGCAAATCTGCGCTGATCAGTACAACTTGTGCTGGTAGACATCCCTCTGCAACGTCAAACCCAGCACTGGTCGTGAAAATGAAGCTCAGGAATGAGCAGTTATCCAACTGTTCCGGTATCTGACTGACACCTTTTGCAGACATCCCAGGCCGGATCCTGCAGGAAACAGATGATACATCCAAACTAGGAAGTTCCAGGAAAGCTTAGTGAAAGGGGCTGTGTGCAAAAGTGTGTGTGTGCAGGGTGCAGAGAAAAGACCAGGACGTGCAGCATCTCTGGGGACCAGTAGAGTGTGCTGTTTGTCATGGCTGGGCCTGAAGGATTCAGGGACAGAGAGGGTAGCTCAGGGTACCTGACAGAAGCTAAACTAGGACCTTTGGTTTAGGGACACCGCCCACCGTGACTTCACAGACAGGGAGCCTGGGGAATAAACATCTCCACTTTATTCACCACCCTAAGTCTGTTCTGCAGATGCCCCATTGGCTGAACCCAACCAGAAGTCGGATGACAAGCGGGTCACTGATATAATCCCCTTGTATCACTAGAACAGGGAAAATGGACCAAAAAGACAGGTGGAAATCACCCAGCACCTCCAACACTCCTCTTTCCTCTCCACCCGCTTATTTTTCTCCCCCACTCATTCTCTGCTGCAGGCCCTTCCATTGCTGCCCCTGACACTTCTACCTTCCCCTGCCCCTTCCTCTGCCCGGGGGGGTGGGGGGGGTGGGTGATGGGAGGTGGCTGAGGTACCCTCCACTGATGCTCTTCACGACTTTGAGCCCCAAACCCACCAAGACTGAAGACATCATGCAAAACCATCGTATGAACTGGCTACACACAAGCATGCACCACCTTGAAGCATGTTCTTAGGATGAATGACTATCCCTGGTTGTATTCTTCAAGCATAAATACTGTGGCTCTATGTCTAGGGTAAGTTTCAACCTGCAATGAGGATGAGCCTTAAGAAGAACATAAAGCAAATTGAACACACTCCCTCTCTCAGCCCCCAAAGCGCATTCCTTCCCCAAGCTCCTAAGCTCCTCTTTTTAAACAAGGACTTAGAAAACCAGAAAGGAGGCTGTTGCTGTCAAGAAATGGCAACAACATTTGGGAGGCTGGAAGGGGAGTGGAGGAGCAGAAACTGACCTAGAAGGGCAGAAGCAGAACCTGGATGTGTGCGAAGGGGATGTGGCTAGGGTGGGTGCCCTGTGCCTCCCAGAGCGGCGGCAGGGCCGAGGAAGTCTGGAGCTTCAAAGTCTGCATTCAAAACAGCCACACCCCACCCCAAGCCCCATCCCAAGCCCCATCCCCACGCCTAGCAGCTTGGTGACTATAATTTTAAGCTTTATGGAATTATTTAGCCAGTTTTTAATTACCATCTGTATTACTTTTTAAACTAAAGTTTTTAAACTTTATGCAAAAACTGACATACAAGTATACTGCTTGTTGCTGAGGTTATTCTGCTGTCAGATCCAGAAAGAACAAAAAAATGGCCATTACACAGGGGAGCAAAAACTGCCCTGAGGCTGGAACTGAAGTCCGGAGGGCGCTGAGAGGAAAAGTCAGCTCGCTCTAAATGCCAGTTTTAAACTCACTTTGGACAAATAAACACTGAATGCATTATCCCCCATCTGTATTGAAGTATAATTGACAAATAAAAATTGTATGTATCTAAGGTGTACAATTGATGTTTTGATATATATGTATCTATACATATATACATGCATACATACATACATATGTATAGTGTGTGTGAGATTATCGCCACAATCAAGCTAATTAACAACATATCCATCATTTCACATAATCGTCATGTTCTCTCTTTGTTGTAGTGAGAACGCTTAAAATTTACCCTGCCACCACTTAACCCCTCCAGCCCACCCAACACCATCCGGGTGCTGCCCTGCCCACTGGCTTTTGGCTCTTCTCTGAGAGCCAGTCCTACAGAAGCATGAGCCTTAACCCCCCTTCACCTAACACCCACCAGGGTGGTCACCTGACCCAGACGAATCAATTAGACTCTGTCCGGGGAGTGCAGCATTGAGACAGATTCCAGTTAGCGTTGCTAGACCCAAGAGGCTGTGTACGAGCGTGAAAGCCTGTAGGAGCTCTCCTTTCAGGGAGGGAGAGAAGCAAGCCCCTATACAACCCTCGGGGGGTGCAGAGTCACCTCAGTTCATGACTCTCAGGAGGAATCAGATCCTTCCAATAAATTCCCTCCCTTTCTGCTAAAGCCAACTAATAGGTTTCTGTGTCCTCCCCTTCCCCAACCGGAGAGCAGGGATTTTATTTTAGACAGACCTTATTTTTCAAAGAAGTTTTAGGTTCATGGCAAAATTGAGCAGAAGGTACAGAGATCTCCCTTATACATACCCCTGTTCCTCCACATACATAGCTTGCTCCATTATCAACACACCACAGCAGTCCATTTGTTACACTGACCCACAATGACACAGCATTACCACTCACGGTCCACCGTTTACATTAGTGTTTACATTACACTCTATGGGTTCGGACACATGCATGACATTGTAGTAGCACACATAGTAGTTTCACTGAAGAGCAGGAATTTTCGTCTGTTTTATTTTCTGCTATATTGCAGCACCTAGAACAGTAGGTATTCAATAAATAGCTGTTGAATGAATATATAAAATACAGTTGACCTCTGTCAACGAGTCTATGATTCTTTTAGAGCAGTGGGTCTCAAAGTGTGGTCCTCAGACCAGCAGCATCAGCATCACCCGGGAACTTGTTAGGGATGCAAACTCTCCGGTCTTACCCAGACCGACTGAAGCAGGACTGTGTAGCTCTCCAGGTGATTCTGGTGCATGCACGGTTTGAACACCATGTGTTAGAGCATCCCACCCAACAGGGCAAGTAGCAGGCACACAATAATATTTACTGAATGTCTGGACGCTAAGGACCTGCAGACAGGCCTGGAGGCTGTGAATGAAACGACCAGATGCTTATTTTGCCTGCTAGAGATAACAGAAACTGTTAAACTTCAATCCCAGAAGGAAATCAGAGCAAAAAAAAGAGATCGTCCCCCTCTAGGGGGGTGTGCTAGAAATGCTACAAAAATCCTTAAAGCTGAATCAGGGCTGGCCGACGAGGTGCTCCCAAGACCTGGAGCGTGAGAGCAGGAGCCCCACGGACACCTGCAGGCGGAGGCTTGTGTCGTGTCCTTGGGTCATGCAGCAGCAGCCACAGGAGCATATTAACAAGCCCACGGCAGCTCCGAATAAAACCAAACCAGGTCCAAGCCAGTGGCCAAGGGCTGAAGGGCTGGGCCTCCTGGCAACTGCAAATGCCCATAAGCTCAAATGACACCAACTGCTCCCAAGCACCAGGCAGAGATGCAAGAAGAAAACCCTGTGGAAAGAAAGGCCCTTTGTGGTTTATGACTCCGGACAGGGAGACAGTCATCGTTTTCTTCTGGGCGAAATCTCCGCATCAGCAGCCAAAGCCCAAATCACCTGAGAGTTCTCTTCCCTCAAGAGCTTTGAGCAGGACTAGCAAAGTCATGCCCTGATATTCAGAAATTCCCAAAGGAATTCGGGTCCTAGACAAAACTCTCATTAGTAGGCCACCTACTGTGTGCCCTGCCCCTTCCACTCCACTGTCCACACTGCAGCCATGGGACCTTTGAAAAAATCACACCTGACCCCTCACTCCCCTGATTAAAACCCTTCAGTGGGTTCCCACTGTCCTTCGACGAAGCCCAAACGCCATACTCAGGTAGGCAGCGTCCCTCTAAAGCTGGCCAGCCTTCCTTCTGGCCTCCTCTCGCCTCTCCCGGCCGTCACTCCCAGACTCCCACTCCAAGCCCAGGCCACCACGAACAGCTTCGATGGCCCCCAACACAATGCTCCCTCCTCCAGGCCTCAGCTATGCTCTTCCCTCTACCGGCCACGCCCTCTTCTCCCCACACCCTGACCCCTCAGCATCTCCCTGTAAATTGTAACCCTCCTCAGGTCTTACCCTGCCATCCCAGGACTCCATCCTTGCCACCACCACCCCAACCCAACGTACAGTTAAGCCTTCTGTGTGCTTCCCCATCTCCTTGCTTTTATTCCATCATATATAAGGTAGACCAGAGACTCTGGACCTAAAACGCCTTTGTTCAAAGCCCCACTCTATCACTTAATAGCTGGCTGCCTTGGGGAAATTACTTGAACTTCTGGGCCTCAGTTTCTTCATTCATAATGAGACACCTACCTCCCTGTCATGTAGGTTAAATGAATTAATGTACGTAAAGGCACGTGGTAAAAACTATACATGAACTCTATGTGAGAAACAGAAGTGTGTGCAGTTCCTTCTGCAGTTGTCACACTATGTAATTGCTGAACTGTTAGTGGGAGGGGCAGGGAGGGGACAGTCCCTTCAGGGGCAGACACAGCATACAAGTTTGCTGAATGGATGGCAGCTCCGCTGTGCTCTTTCCACTGTCCCACACTGTCCCCACCATCCCAAAGTGGCCGCCATGCCTACAGGGTAGAAAGGATCAGACAACTTGTTCTAGTGGGAACTATCAAATACCATCAGCACAAGCAGCAAGTTCTTCCCTGTTTCTAACTAAAGAAGCAAATGAAAGAAGACACACAGATGGTCAATAAACACGTGAGAAGATGCTCAGCATCTTTAGCCATTAGGGAAATATAACTTCAAACCACAACGAGACACCATTTCACACCCACCTCGGACGGCTATAATTATAAAGACAATTACAAGGGCCCGGAGAATGTGGAGCAACGAGAACCCCCTTGCATTGCTGGTGGGAATGTAAAATGGTGCAGCCACGCTGGAAAACAGTTTGGCAGTTCCCCCAAAAGTTAAATATAGTTACCATAAGACCCAGCAACCGCACTCCTAGGCATATATCCAAAAGAAGTGAAAACATATATCCACACAAAACCTTGCACATGAATGTTCACACATCATTATCATAATAGCCAAAATACCCATCTACTGATAAATGGATAAACAAAATGGATATGCAATGAAATAGTATAGAGCCATAAAAATGAATGAAGTGCTGATATATGCCACAGCATGGATAAACCTTGAAACCATTAAGTGAAAGAAGCCAGAAACAAAGCACCACAAATTGTAAGATTCCTTTAAGAGACGAGGAGTAAATTAGCGGTTTTCACCTCGGGCTGGTGGGGGAGGGAGTGACTGCTATGGGTCTAGCTTTTCCCTTCTGGAGTGATGAAAACGTTCTACAATTAAATGGTTGTGATGGTTGCACAACTCTGTGAATGTACTAAAAACCACTGGATTGTTCATTATAAATGGGTAAACTGTATGATGTGAATTATATCTCAAAGAAAAAGAAGCTATTGAAACAATAGTAAGAATGAGCACTTCTAACAGTAAGAATGAGACATGTGCTAGGTGTCTCACAGTCTGCTAAACAGCTTTTGTAGATTCCCTCATTGTCTGTAATTTCAAAAAAGGAAAGAGGAGGTGAGAGTCTTTTTAAAAAAATAACTTCAGTAAGGAGCCTCGCCCAGCCCACAGCCCAGCCTAGGGCCCAGAGCGGATGCTCAACAGTTCTCTTTGCTAGTCTGGTGATTCACCTACATGTGCCAGAACAGACCTGGGTTGGTAACAAAGCCTTGGGGGGGAGGGCTTGGCGCTGGAGCCAAAGAGGCCTGTTAACACTACAGCTAAACTGGAGTGAAGTGGGGAGAGTGAAGGGAAGGAGTGGTGGGCAGGGTGCCGGCCCCAGGGCTAGGTGGAGGGAATCTGGACCACCTCCTACCGCCCGCTCAAGGGAGGTTTTTGTAAGGCCGAACGGAGGGCCATGGTAGTTAACCTGCATGGACTCTGGGCTTGGGTTGTCCAGGTTTCAATCTGACTCCACTTAAACAATTTCTTAGCCTTAATGGTCTCAAGTGACTTCGCTTGCCCAAGGAGGGTAATAACAGCACCAACCTGAGAACTGTTGTAAGATTCAATGGGTTCACTCTACGGAAAGCACTTAGAACTACCCTGGCACGCTGTAATCTTTCCATAAACGTTAGCGGCCGCTATCATCAGCTTGAGCACCAGCAGCACCGTCTGCCTGGTAAGGGGCCTGCGGGAAGGGACCGTGAAGGGGGCGGCAGGCGCACAGCCACGTCGATCCCGGGGTCGACCCGCGGGTGACGGTTTCACAAGGATTTCCCGTGAGCACGGGGCGGGAGGGGGCGTGGATTGCTCCAGCTCCGCTGCGCAGTCTTCTCCGAGGTCCAGTCCTGGGTGACAGGACGGGGCAGCACGAAGCCGGGAGGCTCGCCCCGGGCGGAGGGTTTAGGGTCCGGGAGCTCCGGGGTTGGAGGCGGGAGAGGGAGGAGCGCGGCTCGGCGGGGCGGGGCCGGGGGAGGTCCGTCGGGAGGGAAAGGCCTGTCCGGAGAGAGGGAAGCGGGAGAGCTCGGGCGCGGTACCTGGAGTCGAACTTCTGGCCGTCGGGGAATGTCCCCACGTAGTGGTAGCGCACGAAGTCGCCGCTGCGCACGGTGCGCGGGCACTCGTCAGGCACGAAGCGCCGCTCCATCTGCAGCTCGCTGTCGGAGCCCAGGCCCAGGCCGGCCACGGGCGCCGCCTGCCCGGTCACCCAGAGCAGCAGCAGGAGCAGCGGCGGCGGCGGGGGCCGCCAGCCTCTGGCCCTGAACGCCATCGAGGGCGACGAAGAGAGGAGCCGGCGAGGGCGCGTGGAGCTCGGGCAGCGCACCGGTCGGGCCTAGGAACAGCCGCGTTTGCAAACGTGGAATAGACGCCGGCCCTCCCCAGGCCGCAGCCACCACCCCTCCCCAGGCCGTAGCCACCACCCCCTCGTCCTCGTCCCCCGCCCCCGGCCACATCCGAGCGAGGGGAGGAGCTGGGGCCGCGCGCGGGGCGGGTCCGCTGCGCCCTGCGCCGCCACCGGGCGGCCCTCCGAGCCCTCGGGCCCACCCTGGGAAGAGGGCTAGCAGCAACCGAGGGGACCCGTCCCCGAGGGAGAAACTGTGCACTCTTCGGGACTGGGCTTTGGCCCAAAGTTGGGAGAGAAAAGCGTTTACTGCCCAAGCAGACCCGCTGATCTCCTGTCCCTGGAGACTCCGGATTTAGAATCACGAGAGGCTCCTACGTGGCGGGGGATCCAATTACCCCTTGCTGCTTTGGAGAGGGAGAGAAACTTAGATTAAAACAAAACAAAACAAAACAAAAATAGTTACCAGGATGGAGTCTCCATTGAAGAAGACAAACCCTTCTTCAGGGCTAGAGAAGGGAGAGGCATGTGTTGCCAGACTCCACAGTTAGCACAAACCAAAGTTTTTAAGTTGCTAACTATGAGTGTTCCCCGAGAGCACAGTCTCAAACACGTGACTAAGCCAGGTAGGACTTCACAATAGGGACTCAGATGGGGCAAGAAATTCATGGGAGTAGTTAAATGCATTTAGCTTAAGATCGGTTGTCTTTACTTATTAAAACAGCACTAATGAAAGCAAATCACTAAAGGGTTCTCAATTCATTTTGGAAATGCCAACCAGTGATTGTTAGCGCCAATTCAACGCCAATAGGAATTCCCTATGTGAAGTGCAGTGAAAAAGGAGACTTCATTCAGTGCAAACAGTTCAATTGTGATACAGTGTGGCTGTGGGAACAGCTTAATAGTGTTATATAGTTCAATTATGAAACAGCAGGGCTGAGAGACACCCTCCGTGGGGCCAGCAGCCCTTGGCGAGGCCCCTCTGCAGCTAGACACTCTGCTCCAGTCCTCTCCACTCTGCCCTGCTCCCCTTTGCTCTGCCCCAGACCTGGCTCAGGTGGCAGGAACACAGTGCAGGCAAGCAGTTCCACTCAGGCTTCTCCCTGAAATTCAGTTTGCTGAGAAGCTCCCGAGTAGAAACAGCTGTTAGGCCCTGGTTTTTAAATTTGAGCTCAGTTAGCTAGTAGGAGCCCTACTCAGTAAGTATCTTCTTTTTTTAGGGCCCACAGAAGCAAAGAATCCTGATACCAAAATGTGGCAAAGATACTGAAAGAGAGAAACTGGGCACCAATCTAATGTATAAATACAAATGCAAAAATACTAAGTAAAATGAGCAAATTGAATTCAACAATTTATTAAAGGAATAACACATATTAATGTGTGGACTACCTAAGTGCCCTTAGGCAAGTTATTAGCAGTATCCTCTGTAAGATAAAGATAAAACATGATAATTATAAGATTATCATAGATCTTATTCCCAGGATCTAATGAGAGACTTCATGCAGCATTAAAGAAACGTTCATTGTTCCTATTAGAGCTTATTTAACCGAAATACAAAACCTATTAATATACATCATCCTATCAACAGTTAGTCTACATGGCTTGGGTAAAGCTGATCCCACCCCTGGGAATTAGGGTGGGCATGTGACACAGGCTTGGCCAGAGTACTCCTTCTCCCTGACCATAGTGATTGTTTCCATGACAGCTACACGACCCTTGCTAAGCCAATGAGTGTAACACATGGAACTCCTATTGGAACTGAGAAAGGTTATCTTCCAGCTGGGGCTGCTAAGCTGTTGGCCACCTTTGCCCCGACAATGGGAGAACTACATGAGGATGAAAGTGTACAAAGGAAAATGAAGCTGAGAGAAAGAGAAATTGCTGACTGTAAAATTTCAGCACCTAGATCCAGCCATTCCTGAAGTACTACCCTATAACATATCACATATGTGAGACAATAAATTCCTTTTTTCTCTCTCTTAAAACAGTTTGATTTGGATTTTGGTCTGTTGTTTTCAGAAAAGTCTTGACTAATACTTGCTAAAATGGAACTATCAATCCCTGGGTCTTCTTGCTGAGAGATCAAATCGTCGAGTTAAGCAAATATTTGAATCAGTCAAGACTCACAATAGCAAGTGTGAGAAGAACAACTCAATTGGTTTCTTCAAGAATATATCCTAAAGTTTGCTTGCTTGCTATAGGGTTACTAGCTGTGGTTGAAGAATGTTTGGTATCTTTTCTCTGTATCTTTTCCTCTAGGGGCATATCTTGACCAGCAATAAAGTCTTCCCAGGAGGGGAGAAACTGTTCCAGTCCAGCTTGGTTGAAGTGAGCAACTTAAATTTATCTCTGGTATGCACCATGGAGTATCTGACCAGGGTGGGAGGTGTTTAGGCAGTGGGATGTGCCCTGATATCCCTCTCTTTATTGAGTATCAGGGCCTCTTTCTTTCTTTTTTTTTTTAAGTGATCCTTTTTATTGTTGCGTGTTTTTCAGGGGCTCTTCATGTGACCTCTTTCTCCGTGAGTTAGCTTGGGCCTCCTCACAACTCGGTGGCCTCAGGGCAGTTGAATAGTTTACATCTCTGAAGGCCTCAGGAGGGAATATTTCGAAAGACCAAGTAGAATCCAAATGACCCTTTCTGACCTAATCTCAAAAATGATAAGGCATCCCTTCCCCACTATCTACTGGTTACAAGCATATCACAAGGGTTGGTCTACAGTCAAGGGAAGGGGCCTGCACCTCACCTCTCCATGGGAGGAGTGTCAAGGTCATTTGCCAAAAACAAGTGAGATGGGAGGGATTATTGCAGCCAACCTGTATAACACAATTTGCCACAACAACCAAAGTCATAAGATATTAAATTTTAAATCACAATGTCAAGTTGCTGATTTATAGTAGGAGACATACCTTTCCACTGTCCCCAATACTCAGATCTCACTAAACACCCTTCTCCTCATATTAGGATCTGACATGGTACTCTCCCAGCTGGGTGGCAATGGAAACAGCACAGGGGCTTGACTAGTCCTGAATACTGTTTCCTTTAAGATGGTACCAAGTTTGGTCAATTTTGCACCTTATTCCAAATGGTGCATATTTTTCTGCAGCCACCCCAGAACACTCATGTATGTTCAGAGTTTGTGTTTTTAGTGGACAATACTGAGCAAACACTGCCTGACTACTTTTCCTTGGTTCTCCCTTTCTAGATTCTGTAGACCCTCTTCCTTCTAAGTTGCATTTTCTTTGCTTCTCAAACATCCTCTTGAGATTGTCTTCTTCTTGACTAGATGGGAATGTCTTGCAAGGTATTTATGGGCCACTTATTGGCCCCGGGAACTTGCATCAACAACTGGATTGGTTCATACACCGATTCTTTTCTCTCAAAGGAAAACCTGATTTCCAAATCCTGGGACACATTCGTGAAAAATCCTTGTATGTCTGTTCATAGTCTTTTGTGTGTTTATTTGGATTTCCTGTAATAAATACGAAAGAGCTCCCCAGATATTTAAAGTATCAATTATATTGAATGCCACATTGGAGGGAAATATCTCCTATGCTATTATTTTTACTTTCTTTGTGGTTTATTCCATCATGTTAAAGCTAAAATAATTATTACAACTTCACACATCAGGTAACACTTTTAAAATACAATCTAGTTAAGCATCTAACACTTCTGCATTCTGGCTCCACGATTTACTAGTTTTGCATCCTTGAGCATGTCACTTAACTCTCTGGGCTCCTCCTATCTACAAAATTAGCTTTAATACATAAAGGTAGTAAGAGAATTTATGTTTTTAGAGATTAACTCAGTTCTTATTAAGGGCTTAGCTCAATGACCAGCACATAAGGGCACTCAGTGTGTATTAGCTCTTCATTTTCTGCTCTCGAAGCTTGTTTACATTTAATAAAAACTGTTTTAACCAGGGATGGATCGCACGCTCTAGAGGTCCCGGGGCAGCAGGAAAGGTCACCCAACCGCCGGCTGTCGCAGCCCTCGGCCGTCGCCAGGGGGCGCGCTCCGATCTCCCGCACCCAGCGGCCGGGCTGCGGCGCTCGGAGCCAGGACAGTAGGCCGCGCCGCGGGGAGGCGGGGATCGCGGCCTCGGCAGGGGCACCGGGCTCAGCCGGCGGGCTGCGGGCGGCGGCGGGAGGGGGCGCTGCGGGACCGGGCGGGCGCGGCGCGGAGAAGTGTCGTCTTCGCCGCCGCCTGAGCCCCGCGGGCCGCGATGTCGTCCCGGCCGGGGCGCGGCGACCCGGGGGCCGGGGGCGCGAGGCGGGCGCGGGAGCCGCCCGAGCAGGAGCTGCAGCGGCGCCGGGAGCAGAAGCGGCGGCGACACGACGCGCAGCAGCTGCAGCAGCTCAAGCACCTGGAGTCCTTGTGAGTCCCCGCCGCCCGGGCTCCTGCGAGGAATGGGCGCCGCGTGGGCGCGTCAGGCGGGGTCCTCGGCGACCCGCGAGGGGGCAGGCGGCCCGGCGGCCGGTACCGATCCCGGGCGGCGCGCACTCGCCTTGCAGCCGCCCCTCGGCGGGAGGGAGGTCAGTGCGCGGCGCCCCGGGGCCGCCTGGGCCAGGAAGGAGCGCAGGCCCCGCCCCCAGGGTGCGGGGCGCTCGCGGGGACGGGGCGTGGGGGGCGCTGCCCCGCGCTGAGCTGCGGCTGCCCACGTGCCGCGCCGGGAGTTCGGCTGAGGGCTCTGTCCGGCGCTCACTCTGGATTTGGGGACTAAATGCACGAGAAGTGCGCTCTGGTCCCTGTCCTTTCAGGGTGTTCAGGTCCAGGGCCCACTGTGAACCGGATACAATCTTTTCATCTTCTGTTACGAAGGGAAGAGAAAACGTAGTCCTGTAAGGTTAGTGCGGAAAGAGAATAAACCCTGGGGTGAGGGACTTGTCCCTAACTATTGGGAAGGTGGCTGTCAGGTAGCAGGGAGTGAAGACTTGCTCTCTAGTCCTGAGGACTTCTACCAGGATTAAGGGTGGAAGCTACAAAGAGGCTGATTCCAGCTCAACGGAAAGAATTAGGACCAGAGACATAAATTCTTGCAGGTGAGTTTGGCCTGA